ACAAATGCAAACAAATTAGCTAATTTATAGCTCATGAGAATGGTTTCGGACACGTCCAAAACCAACCTTGCGAGAAAATGCAAATCAATTGACCAATATGTCCAAAACTATCCTGGAGAAATGCAAACCAATTCGCTGATTTTAGCAAAAAATCCCCAGACAAATGAAAACAAATCAGCCGATTTTAGTGCTTTTGAAAATGGTTTTAGATGCGTCCAAAACCAATCCCTAGACAAATTTGCCAATGTATAGCTCATCAGAATGGTTTTGGATGCGTTAAAAACAAACCCTGCAGGAAAATGCAAATCAATTCACCAATTTTAGCGCTAATGAAAATGGTTTTGGATGCATCCAAAACCAATGCTTATATAGACAAATGCAAACAAATTAGCTAATTTATAGCTCACGAGAATGGTTTCGGATTCGTCCAAAACCAACCCTGCGAGAAAATGCAAATCAATTGACCAATATGTCCAAAACTATCCTGGAGAAATGCAAACCAATTCGCTGATTTTAGGAAAAAATCCCCAGACAAATGAAAACAAATCAGCCGATTTTAGTGCTTTTGAAAATGGTTTTAGATGCGTCCAAAACCAATCCCTAGATAAACTTGCCAATGTATAGCTCATCAGAATGGTTTTGGATGCGCCAAAAACCAACCCTGCAGGAAAATGCAATTCAATTCACCAATTTTAGCGCTAATGAAAATGGTTTTGGATGCATCCAAAACCAATGCTTAGACAAATGCAAACAAATTAGCTAATTTATAGCTCATGAGAATGGTTTCGGATGCGTCCAAAACCAACCCTGCGAGATAATGCAAATCAATTGACCAATATGTCCAAAACTATCCTGGAGAAATGCAAACCAATTCGCTGATTTTAGCAAAAAACCCCCAGACAAATCAGCCGATTTTAGTGCATTTGGAAATGGTTTTAGATGCATCCAAAACCAATCTCTAGACAAAGGCGAACAAATTAGCCAATTTAAAGCTCATGAGAATGGTTTTGGATGCGTCCAAAACCAACCCTGCAGGAAAATGCAAATCAATTCACCAATTTTAGCTAATGAAAATGGTTTTGGATGCATCTAAAACCAATCCCTAGACAAATGCAAACAAATTAGCCAATTTATAGCTCATGAGAATGGTTTTGGACGCGTCCAAAACCAACCCCTGCGAGAAAATGCAAATCAATTGACCAATATGTCCAAAACTATCCTGGAGAAAAGGAAACCAATTCGCTGATTTAGCAAAAAATCCTCAGACAAATGAAAACAAATCAGCCGATTTTAGCACTTATAGAAATGGTTTTGGATTCGTCCAAAACCAATCCCTAGACAAATGCAAAGAAATTAGCCAATTTATAGCTCATGAGAAAGAAATGCGAACAAATTAGCCAATTTATAGTTGATGAAAATTGTTTTAGATGCATCTAAAACCAATCCTGTAGGAAAATGGAAGTCGATTGACCGATGTGCCCAAGACTAATCCTAGAGAAATACAAGCAAATTCACTGATTTTAGCAAAAAATCCCCAGACAAATCAGCCGATTTTAGCGCTCATGGAAATGATTTTGGATGCGTCCAAAACCAATCTCTTGGATGCATCCCAAACCATTTTAAATCGGTAAATTGATGTCCATTTTCTTTTGGATCGGTTTTGGACGCATCCAGAACCATCCTCATGAGCTATAAATTGGCTAATTTGTTTGCATTTGTCTAGGGATTGGTTTTGGACGCATCCAAAACCAATTTGATTACCGCTAAAATCGGTAAATTGATTTCCATTTTCTTATATGATTGGTTTTGGATGCATCCAAAACCATCCTCATGAGCTACATATATATTGGCTAATTTTACTGCATTTGTCCAGGGATTGGTTTTGGATGCATCCAAAACCAATCCCTAGACAAATGCAAACAAATGAGCCAATTTATAGCTCATGAAAATGGTTTTGGATGCATCCAAAACCAATCCCTAGGCAGATGCAAAAAACTAGCCAATTTATAGCTCATGAGAATGGTTTTGGATGCGTCCAAAACCAATCCTATTGGAAAATGGAAATCATTTTACAGATTTTAGCGCCAATGAAAATGGTTTTGGATGCATCCAAAACCAATCCTAGACAAATGCAAATAAATTTGGCGGTTTCACAGTTTACGAAAATTGTTTGGGTGTGTCCAAAACCAATTTGATAAGAATATGGAGACTAATCGACCAATTTTCTGTAAGTGATTATGAAAATGGTTTTGGATGTATCCAAAACGAAACCTAGAATTAATTATATAAGCTGTTATAAAAACCGTTCGTGATATACTTATAGTCAATGTGGAACAGCAATCAGTCTGCGTCTTTTGCTTTCTGGCTTTTCATAAAATGGCGAATCTGCCTCCTTGCATCCGTGTGCAACTTGGAATTCGAGTGAAGGTGGAAGCCCGGCAGATAAACACATTCCTTTGGCAATTTATAATTCAAAGGCAGTTTTTCATTTGTCAATGACAATAAAGATGGAACATCTTTCAAAACCGATAAATCCTGCAAAGAAAGTTAAGAAGCACATTTATCTCTCAAGTATATACATACCGTACAGTATCATAAACTGTTTTTACTTCACATGGTTTCTCAAACCTCTTACTGGGTTGTACAAAACCGGGCAGACAATTAACAGAAAGAAAATATATTAATACATACTGTAGTACATACATATAGTATGAGGAATTAAGTGTATGTAAATCTATCAGCATCAAAACAGCTGAATATTGTACCTACTGCACAGTAAGGACTTCATGCATACCATATTTCAATGATATATTTTAAACTTATTAGATATTGTAGCTATAATTATTTCTATAATAGTGTTATAGATACAATATGGAGATTATATATAGATAGCTCATAGCTACAGAGTGTGTTATATGGAACGGCAAAAACACTATACCTACAGGAAATAAAACAGTTTCATATGTAGGGGCAATAGTGGGGAATAAATCAAGCTTAGAAGGAGTTTTGTGGTGATTAAAGTCACAGAACTTAGTGTGTTGTAGCTATGGGCGAGGCTAGGATCTGTCGCTAGTTGTTCAAGTCTTTTGTCTTTATAATGTGATAAAGAACAGGAAGTAAAAAGAACATCATGTGGGAAAAATGTTGGAAGTAGTAATGAAGAATCAGACTGAAAAGTGAAAACAAAACTTTTGTCAGAAAGTGAATGCATATAAAGTGATCGGACTATATACAGTAGAAGGACAAATGCATGGTATAAACATCAGATTTATACCACATGTTTGGATTAAAGTAGTAGTGCTATACTTAATGTTCAGTGGCCTCAAAGTTGGCATTGTGTTTCCCAGGGCTGTAGCAACCGGGGTGGTGTTGGGGGGGTGGGGGGGTTGTGGTGGTGGTGGGGGGGGGTTATGGTCTGCAGCACCCCAAATAATTTCTAAACTAGCGAAAATCTGTAAAGTTTGAGAGGGAAATAATGACCTAATAATCGCCACTGATTAATCAGCCCCCCCCATACAAAATTGCTTCCTATGGTAGTGGTTTCACATGAACTCATAAACAATTATACAATGTGATATTTGCTGTGTTGGTGTAGTGTACTCAGGTGAATAAGATGCTTGTGATGTTACTCTTGAGTGTGAATCGACACCGGGCAGACTTGAAAAATATGCCTGGCCACGGTGGGAATCGAACCTACGACCTTTGGAATACTTGCCCAATGCTCTGCCAACTGAGCTACGCGGTCAGGTCGGTTCGAGTATGCGATATTTCGGAACTGAGTCTAGTTCCTTCGATATCAGTGTAATCTAATAATCATGATATTTGCTGTGTTGGTGTAGTGTACTCAGGTGAATAAGATGCTTGTGATGTTACTCTGAGTGTGAATCCACACCGGGCAGGCAGAGCATTGGGCTAGTATTCCAAAGGTTGTAGGTTCGATTCCCATCGTGGCCAGGCATATTTTTCAAGCCTGCCCGGTGTGGATTCACACTCAGAGTAACATCACAAGCATCGTATTCACCTGAGTATACTACACCAACACAGCAAATATCATGATAATTAGATTACACTGATATCGAAGGAACTAGACTCAGTTCCAAAATATCGCATACTCGAACCGATCTGACCGCGTAGCTCAGTTGGCAGAGCATTGGGCTAGTATTCCAAAGGTCGTAGGTTCGATTACCACCGTGGACAGGCATATTTTTCAAGCCTGCCCGGTGTGGTTTTTCAATAATCAGAAGTATATAATGGTAATACTAGATTTTCATCTACATGATCCTTCAACTGTTATTCAATCAAGTGTGATGCCAACAAAATCTTGATATTTACCCATAACCAACATGTGGCAGTACATACAGTATATACATGAACTTGTCGTTAGAGCTTGACAACTGGTGTCTGTACCTCAGTTGGTTAAAGCACTGTATTGCCAGTACCAATATCACAGGGCCGCAAGTTCAATTCCTGACAGGGGCCTGTAGATGAATTTTTCACAACTGTTTCTGGTTAGGTCTAGGCTAATAAATATATATAAATTTCCACTCGATAATTTCCATTTACAAGACCCTTCAACTACTTTATATAATGCTAATAAATGATGACTTTCAAGACTTGCTAAAACTTGTGTCAGTCACTTATAGAAGCAACTTGTTCTTTACCAAATCTAATTTGTTTTAGATACATCTCTACTTCCGCTGTAAATATTGAAATGTGAAATAAAATTCTCCCATGATAAATACTGTAGTTGACTGAATTAATCTGCTAACCAAATGCCTGGTGATAGTACATACTAGAAAACATTTATAAATTATAACTACAGTTTAGTTTTTGTTACATGAATGAAATATCCAAAATATAGACTACTGATCGATTGACTAATTAAAACAATATAACACACTATTTGATACAAAAACGCATTGATTTAGGAAATGCAATAGCATACTTACACATTTACTACAAAATTTGATCTCAATGAATGAGAATTTGGTACAGTACTCAAAATTATGTCACAATAAATGAATGAGAAATGATACAAATGAGAATTGTGATCAAAGTTTAGCATAGTGTATTTTTCAGTATTAAATACAATTCATTCAGATACTTATAATTACTCCCGCATTCAATCTGAAATTACTCCTGCATGACGTTCTGTTTTACTTTGAGTTCTTTGTTGCATTATCCTAGCCTCGGCCATAGCTACAACAATAACACCACTCTAAGTTCTGGGACTTTAACACCACAAATCCCCCATTTTAAGCCCGATTTATTCACCCACTATTGCCCTACATATGAAACTTGTAATTTTGTTGAATACCAGATCTAGAGAGACAGTGTGACAAGTGACAACACATTTCCAGTTATAGATAGCTATGGAGTGTTATAGATACCTATGGACTGTTATGTATATGGGCTAACTTAGTGCATATTTTAGTCTTTGCAACCACTAAGCTAAAATTATGATTGGGCTATTTCGGTTGCTCATACATTGAGAAAGTGCCCAAATAGGCGATTTCACTAAGGGACCGCTCATTATTTATTGTACAGGGGGATTGAGGAGAAACTGGGGGGGGGCTTTAAATTTTTTAAAACCTGAAAGGGGGGGGTCTTTGAAAAAAAACACAGAGAGACGAAATAAGGGGGGCTTTGAAAAGATTTACCAGTTTCAAAAAACATTAGTAGTTTTAAAAATGTATCACAAAACAACTTAACAACAAATAACAATGTTTATAGACCTTTAATATTCATAAATGGAAGCCAAATAAAAAGTCTTTTATGTTCATGTAAATAGACAATTCCCATTACAGACTAATTTTAGAACTAGGCAAAGAGATGCAAATCAAGGCCGGATTTTGGTGAAAATAGTGGGGGAGGTGGAAAAAAATTTAGGGGAGGTGCAGCGGTCTAGCTGATACCCCCCAATATCAACGAGGTGAGGTATGATGTAGTGTACATATGTACCAGTGTATTAATGAATTATGACTGTATGACTCCAATCTTGCCCTTCACTACAATTGCTACAAAGTTTCTTTCAAAACATTGCATTAAAAGGGTACCTGACTCAGAGGTGAATAGCTATCACTGTTTCAATTTTACAGAGAAAACTTTCTTACGTCACGAAGTGTAGACCCTAAGCAACCATCACATTTTCACTTTGTTCCATCATTGAAACTTTCCCAAGGGGAAGTGCATGACCTTTCAAGAGAGGTGGAAAAATTCTCAGGGGAGGTGCAAAACGATCTCTGGGGAGGTGCGCACCTCTCCACACTTCCCTCAAAATCCGGCCTTGATGCAAATAAATCACCACAGCTAGAAAGAGCATACTAAAATAAGGTTGCGAATTGTTGCAAAATACGGAAAATATAGCCTTGCAAAGTTTGCAAATTTTGTACACTTTTGTATTGCATGCGAAAATTGCAATTATACAAAAGAATACAAAATTTGCAAACTTTGGAACGCTATATTTTCTACATATTTTACAACATTTTGCAACCAAACTTTGGAATTTGACTAATTTTAGTATGCCCTTCCCGGGAATATACTTTTTTTGCTAAGATAAAAAATTAGTCTATATAATGGGAATGTCTATTGGTCCCCATTACCTATTTTTCTTTCTCTAAAATAAACAGCTAGAGTTTTTGTTTCTCTAAATAAAGATAAAGAGCTAGAGGGGGGGGACAAAATTTATGTTCTTGTTTTGCCTGTTGGGGGGGGCTTTGAAAATTTTACTTGTCTTAAGAGGGGGACAACGAAAAAATATTACAACTGTAGAGTTTCTCCTCAGTCCCCCCCCTGTACAATAAATAATGAGCGATCCCTATAGTGAGTGTGATGGCATTTGCAACAGTATTGTGGCATTGCCAAATGCTGTAAGAACTTTTCTAATTTCCAGCACTGAACATTATGACTCGACTGTTGAATAGAATTTCTGTTGTAATTACATGTGTGTAATTACATATAGTACAACTGATCTTGAAAAGATAGTTGGATTAACCATGCTAGCCTGCTTCCAATGATAAATACTGCGCACTTCGGCTGGAGTTCTAGCATTTTTGGTCAGCTGCAATGCTTTTTCCATGCAGCTCCGGTTGGAAAGTCAATGACAAGAAATGTGACAATTTTGTAGAATTATAATGTTGGTTACAAATAATGGAGACATTGAATTTGCTGAAAGTGTACTGTACATATAATCTGAAGTCAATTATATGTCAATTTATCAAGCATTGCAAAAAGTACTGTAGATAATTGCTTCTGATATTGCCAATGATTGCACTAAATATTTCAGTATTACAACATACATGTGAGGGGTTGCTCCTAATTAAGGCAGCTGGCTCACCATTGTGGTGATCCTGTCTCACATGTTGTTCTAATGCATGTATTCGTATACAAGCCAGGCTAACATGCTGTACATTATAGCTTGTTTGCAGGATGCTGGGGGTGCCTTCCATTTAAACGGCAAACTGGTCAAGTTTTTGTTCCAAAATGTAAATAATTGTGCATGTTATAGAAACTTTCTTTGCTGTTTGTACATGTATAAATGAAATAAAACTTTCTGCTTTAATTATTTCAATTTTATAGCTTTAAGCCACGTTTACACGCTGCAATTTATCGTGTACGATTCGTTTGCTGGCGTATGTCATTGAGTAAACACGCGCAAGCTGGCTACATTTGAAATTTCTTTTTAACGAAACGGCAATGAATTATGGCGCCAGCACTAATTTTAATACGACAGAATACGTACCCAACAAACCGCAGCTTTAGGTATAGTGTGTAATGAAAATTATAGTTCAATAGTTTTTATTGTAGGTTCATGGAGGTACTTTCAATGCTCAGTTTCCTCGTTCGTGCCTACAACCAAACCTGGATCTTACTCGTCTCTGTATTCCATTGTGTGACATCCAGAAAGATAATTCCTTTGCAGTGGGGTAATAAATATATAACTTACTCAACTGGCACTTTTATTAATACAAACCATAAATACTCTAATTAACCCACTCTTTCCTCTCTCTTTCTTTTTCTCCTCTATAAATGAGCCTTCTTCCCCCCCCCTTCACAACAAAAATACATATACTCAGTCTGATTAGAGCATTTTATGCTCATGCAGCCAGATTGCATAATTTTTTCACTTCATTTAACAATTATTCGCCGAAGGCTTTGGTGATTATCGGTGAAAATAAAAAATACAAATTTCTTCGTCATTTAATTGACAAAATGGCTTCGGCCGCCATTTCGAAAATCGCTTAGCTGATTATCGCGTTTTAGTATTTTTGTACAAGTGATTATAACAAATTCTACAACCTGATCGGTCAAATTTGACGTAATCACCTACTGGTGAATATAACAAAACTGAAATTTTCAAAATGGCGGCTAGCCATTTTGTGGAAGTTTACTGATAAAGAAATAAGAGAAATTAAAATAAATTCAGTACCAAATAACACAAAAGACTTGTGTAAAAATACTAAAACAATTATTCGCCTCAGGCTCGGTGATTATCGGGGAATATTCACCTCGACTTCCCCGATAATCACCTCGCTTTCGGCGAATAATTGTTAATCACGGCAACCAATCAGCGTGAAGAATTTTCAATAATCACCTATATAATTATACTGATAGTAATACATATTATCCGACACTAACGCAACTATAGGATTTATTTCTCAGTTATAAGCAATCTTGAAGCAAGAAATTTAAAGGGCCTTCGTTGCTTTTGGGGCCCCTATTAAGCTGAGGTCCCAGGGCAAAGTGCCCCCTGCCTAAAATAAATTAGCTAAAGACGTAAAGTCCCATATCTCATAGTAATGGATATTTATGTCTTGTAAATCTAGTTTATACTGCACATCATTTGTTTTTAATCAGTTATCCACAATTGAATTTCCAGCTAACGTTATTTTTTCATTCACTCAGACATGTATTGCTTGGTTTCACCAAATGTGGGGAATATTTAATGTCTTACTACAAAGAATTGCAAGATGATGTTTCATTTGGCTTACCAATGTATAAATATACATTACATTGGTGGAAGTTTAATCTGAGGAGACCATTACAGCAGGTACAAAAATAGACAATAACTCCTGATTGACTGGCAGAGTATAATGTGAATATTTCCTTTTCATCGTAGGTTTGTCATATATCGTTATTTGTTGGTGAAGTCATTACTGAAGATCTTTTATTAATTGTCTGTCATACATTGAACGACAATAGGATTCTTGTCCATGGTTATGCGTAAGTTGTAAACTTTTTAACATATTGTTATAGTTTTCAAATATGTTTATTCGTGCAATGGTAAGAATATTTTCACGAGGTTGAAGATGGAATGTTCCATTCAATGAGGCGACTGGAACATTCCATCTTTCACCGAATGAAATATTCTTACCATTGCACGAATAAACATTCATTATTTGTTTTATATAATACCAAAATAGACTAATAGATTCGTATGAGAAGCATTTTGACGGATGCGATTTATCGAAAACACAAAGAGTGCAATGGAATAAAACGTATAGTACAATTGCACTCGCAAAGAGTGCAATGGAACGTATTCCATTGCACTCTTGGGAAATGGAATTTTCTATTCAATATCACGTGACCATAAACAGCCAATTAAACGATCATAATTCAATAAGGTATTATATAGTATCAGATAGACAGTTGTGGATTGATAGGGATACAACTATACTTGAAAAATACAAGAAGAACTTCGACGTTTCGAGCGAATGCCCTTCGTTGGGAAGTTAGTAGCGTGGTCGGAAAAATTGCATGAGCTTTTAAATACCATGATGCTTGTGATGTTTCTCTTAGTGTATATCCACACCGGGCAAGCTTTAAGAATATGCCTGGCCACGGTGGGAATCGAACCTACGACCTTTGGAATACTAGTTAAAACGATCACGATATTAAAGCGATCACATGACAAAAATAAACAAATCAGATGTATTTAGTCAAAACAAAGTGTAAGTGAGTGCCCGGCACTAGTGCCCAATGTTCAAACTGGTTTCCAAAACATGTTGAGCACAGTGCCGTTGTTGAGTACTACATCTAGAAGTAGTGCCCTTTCTTGGGCACTGTGCCCAATTTCATTTGGAAGCATCGTGTTCAAACTAGGCGCCAAAAAACAAGTGACGGGCACCAGTGCCAGGCACCAGGCAGGCACCCAGTCTGAACGCAGCCTAAGTATACCGAAACAAACAACATACAGAAACACATAAATTGCACTCCCTGACCCACAACAAAAAAGGAAAAATCTGTACAGCAAGCAGGAAACTACACATTGCAACTACATAACAAAAGAACAAAGAGTTAAACACGTGCAAACCAAGGGAACTAACTCACCCAGAATAGCCCGAGGTATGCCCGGGTGCGGGCGCGGCAGGCAGTTTCAACGAAAAAACGCCAAACAGGACAAGACAAAGGATGCCAAACGTCAACCGCACCTAACCATACAGACAAACAGCTTAGGTAATGACATGACGACAGCTAAAATAGTTAAGTATTAGGTATCAATGACTGGACAACTCTAGCTAGACAGACACTCGTAGCAAAGCATATAGCATGATACATTACTCTGTGACAACGGATACAAATGGCCCCTTTTCACAACACCAACCACACAGGCACTTCTGGTTGGCCGCAACCAGGCAACGTATTACTACTGCAGTCTCTGCTCGTAACTCAGCTGCTGAACAAGCAATGCATACCCGCCCCCGTTGGTTTACTGCGACTAATATCTCTGGCAATTGATATAAGCCAAGGAATGTCCCCCCCCCCCCTAGTTTAACAAAACCGACAGCTGGGGCAATGTACCGCTACACCACGTAAAAGGCCGGGACCTAGCCGTAAAGCAGGGGATGGATGAAATTGGGAGGGCGGGTGTAGGGGGTCAAAAATATCGCGTTGACTCCACGAAGGGTTGCAGGCAATGAACTCCAAGTGAGTACGCTGTAGCATAACAAACCTCGGTAAGCCTGCATAATTACATAATATGAATATGTAATAGACATCCACAGGCTCGTGCTTAATGTTAACTATTTTTATTTCATAAAATCATATAATGTATGTTTAGATATCCAAGCAGAGATGAACAATGCAGGCAATGTTACGTCACGATATGTCCCTCTCCCCCCGGAACGTCTACAACATCACTTGACGATACATGGGTTGTTCACATGAAGTATAATCTCCTGCCACCTTTCCCTCTCTTCATACCACCCATACAGCTGAAACTGAAAGATACTGTTATCTTAAATACTGTTGATTCTATACTTGCTATCACTGTTTCTCCTTGCGCGGAACATAAAACAACTAAACCTAATTCCAGGAATCAAACTTGTGGAGAAAATTGCAGATCAAATTTCGAAAAAGCGAAAACGTATTGTGTGAACGATTTAGTAACTGATTCAAAAGTTGATATATTGAAGAACTGTTCAGAAAAAATTCCTGTTTCAGTCACGGACGTCGATTGTAAGTTGTCGAATGTTTCTGGGGAGGAGACTTCGATATGTATTCAAGAAACTATAAAGGCTGATGACATACCAAGCATAGATAGAATGGTACCAAATGAAGTGGAAATTCCGAATAAAGACGCTCTACACAAGACAGACATTAGTCCAAGTTTGTCGTGTACTGAATGTAGTACCTGCTGTCAATCAAACAATCTATCATTAAACTGTGACCATTTGATTATGTCGAACTTAGTTAATAACAACCAAGAAATTGACAACGACACTCAGAGCATTGGATACAATGGTGTTAATAGCAACAAGTCAGTCAAAGATGAAGAATGTTCGAACACGATTTCCAAGTCTTCCCACCTTTCGTCTTTTAGTTTTAAGACATTTTCTATTGATACAGACTCAGAAATGATCGAAAATACCTCGACTAGCACTGTCATTGATGGTACTTCATATCTTGATATACAAATTACCACAGTTGCAGATACTCCGTACAAGTTATTGGAATGCTTACAAGACAATGTTGAAATGCAAGATCATACAACTCCCTGTATTCATACAAGAGTCGTATCACTTGATGTCGAAAGGTATATATATATAATAATCTTTAATGAGGAAAGCTTTGTCACATATGACGTGATTTTCACAAAGGTCCTACACATAGGGAACATTATATATACAAATAATCATGCAATTATAAAAATCTAAAACTAGTTAAAAGTCAAAAGTCTAAAACTGTAAGTCACGATGTTCTAAGCAGGCTTTAGGTTAAAAGTTTAGAAAAAAAGATTTCTCTTAAAGGTGTATCATTGAAGCGTTGAATACTTCAGAGGAACTGAAAGGAAAGTATTGGGTTCTTAGGAATTACAGTACTCTGCTGGTGGATGTATGCGAAAGCAGCCAATGTGTGATCATGCATATTGTCATTTTAATATCAGTACAAGATTATTATGAGAATGCCACAAAGTAAGTTGCTTTAAATAAGTTTTAAATATTTCACTTATGTCATAAAAATGGTTCATAATCAGCCTCGAACCCGGGCGCTTTGTTGTGCTACCACACCAAAGCGCATGGGTACGAGCCTGACTCATACATGTAATCATGTAAAAGTTGAGGTATCGGCAGTGCTGTATATGGAAAGGTAGTCTGAAGCCGGTGGTAGCGAGTTCATTTGGGAGGGCAATGTACGGTACATATTGATCACGTATGAGCGCATTCGAGGGGCTTCGGTGGCGAAGTGGTTAGAGCACTTGCCTTTCACCTCTTAGGTCCCGAGTTCGATTCCTAGTGAGGAACTTTCTCACTGTGATTCGAACCCAGTCCTCATGTGAAAAGAGAAAAAGTCAACGCTCTGCCGAAGGTCGTGGGTTTTCTCCGGGTACTCCGGTTTCCTCCCCAGGGAAAGTTGACAGGGTGGGTTAAACACATAGGTCAGGGGGCAGATCATTAATGAGGCCTCGGTCTGCTTCACGTCAGTTTCGGTTCTATCTATTCACAATGTAACCAGTCACTGAAAAACCCTGACAGGGAGTGTGCTGTGCAATATCTGTAATTGATGAGTTTTCAAGTTTAATGGCAATTGTTTTTGCTTTCACTGTACGAAAAATATGAAAATTTAGGCAGGAATAAAAAATCTTACAGTCATGCACGTAGGAAATATTTCCGGTACGTCCTTAGAAAATATGGTATGCACACCGGCGTGCCATCGAACCTTTGTTCATCATGCATGTAAGGCCAAGCCTTCTCAGTACCATGTTAAAATTAACTTCACTAATCATATTTCATTATTTTTAACAGACGGGAAATTTCTTCCGTTTCTCTTCTTCTTACATGGAGTATTGCTACGGGCGAAGTTCACACGTTAAATATTTCACCATTCACCAAGACAATGGCAAAAAATGATAAACAGATATTTAAGGAAGGGTGTAAGATTGTTGCGGATCTTCAGAGAAAATACTTCGTACCTGGTGGGTTATCTGCTGTACAGGCCTTTTCTAATCATAATGTATTCACCGGGAAAACGTTGGGATTTATTAAACACCCTTTTCAGCCAATAGCAATTGTATTGTAAGCATACAATTGTGTATAACTTGTATTTGAAAATCGTTGTCAAACTGCAAGGACGTGTTGTACGATACTCATTTAGCATGGGCCATAATCACAGAATGAAGACCAAACAGAAAGCCATGTTCCTAGCCAGTGCGCTTATACAGTAGACCTCTCATTCACACGATACGACTAGTCGTATACGATTGTCATCCTGTCATATGAAAACGACTGCCGACGTCACTGTTCCTGTTCATGAGTTTATAGCGAAATTTGAAATGTGACATATTTATACGTTTCTATTCGAGTACATACGCCAAGATGAGAATCGTATGCGACTAGTCGTATCGTGTAGATGGGCCTTATGAGAGGCATTCACCCCCCTGAACGTCCGCCATTTTGAATATTTTCAGTGAATGGGGTGAATGCTTCTCATAAGCGCACTGCCTAGGACTGCATTGCCACTGTTACGCCAAAATCGTCGGCAAAACCAAGAAGTTGGCCTTCTGTAAGGTTCTCTATTCTGTGACTACATTCAGTCACGTTGGAGATGCGCGTTTGCAGGAAAAAGATCTCTTCCCCTGTGTCATTTGACTTTAAATATTAGGGAGAATTTCTTTTATATTTTATACTGCGATATAAACTACGATGTAAACCTTAGGTGGATAAGTCGTTCGGCATGTAAGAATTAAAGCGCGGTAAGTACAATGGCTACTCATTCCAACTTACTATTGGAAATGAGAAATATGATTTTTGCATGCAATGAGCTCATTTGCGTATAGGGAGAAAACGTTTCTTTTTTCATCTATTTTTAATAACTTGTTGGCTTTTGTTCGCCTTACTTTTTGCTTTCCGTGCAGTTACTCCTACTTAGGGACCGGTCATTATTTATGGCAGGGGTGGGGGCCGAAGAGAAAGTATAATGAAGCCGGAAAAAATCATTACCCCACCTTTTTCGAAACAAAATTTTTAGCTACCCCACCGGTGGAATGCCAGAAAATTTTTTTACCCCACCCAAACCTATTTTGTTGCAATGTCAAAGGTTCAGACATAAAATATGTAATGAAACAGTTTAGTATTTTGTATGCGTATTACTCATCAAGGTACAAAATTGCCCTTGATGAGTAAGATCATCTGCTGTTAGAGAGTAAATAATAATTATTATAGGGTGCTTTGACCACAGTGGACATTATAATTAAAAGGGAATAGGATTGATTGGTAATACTTGTTTACCAATATCCCTTTCCCCTTATTTCTTGTGGAGTAATTAAAGCACACAACAGTCAACAGTCATGCCTTTATATTATGGGTTAGCCCTACAATAGCAAGGTACTATATAAAGAATTATAGTTATCTGAAGGCTTAAAATTTGTCTACTTGTAAAATTTAAATATGAATGGGTTTTTATAGTTTGTATTCAACGCTATATTCCCTTTTCACGAGATAGTGCAATATGCTAGTCCCATGCATGCATAAACATATATTTATTTTTTTAACCATATGCTTCAATATTTTAGAACACTAACCGTACTTCACCATCTCTTTCCCACTTTAAAGTTTCACTGTATATAATTTGGTTTCTTTCACATTCTTGCATTTTTTTATTAATTAAAATGCAATTTTATTTTGAAACAGTTTCACAAAATATGTGCTCACCCATGATTGCAACTATCTAAATTCTAAAATTTCCTCTGAAATTCCTTTAATATTTCCTTACTATAGACAATCACATGTATTATCACGGAATTTTAAAGGAATTCCTTAAGAATTCCCAAGGAATTCTTGAAGTTTATGAAATCAATTTAATATTTTAATTCGTAAACAATACAACGATACTAAAGTATTTGTCCCATGTGAGAATATCTGAATTTAGAAAGTTACTGTAAATTAATGAGAAAAAGTTGCTGTTATACAGTGTGAAGATAAAGATATTCATCCGAATTCCAAGTATGATTATATAAACAATTAAATTAATCTGTAAAACGGGTAAATAGACTTCTCTTATTTTATCTATGTATACATGATCTGCTAGTAAAGAAAAACAGCTAGTTGCCAAAGGCTAGAGATGAACATATTGTGAACTAGCCATTGGAATGATTCTCCAGATTCACAAGGGGCATGGGGCATATTTCATGATTTGCTACCTGAATTGTCCACATGGTTTACAAGCACATACTGGATATAAATATTAGTTATGCAGTATCAAGTGTAAATGCCCAAAAATTAAATCCTGAAAATTTAATAGACTGTACATATACTTTTTGAGATATGTAATAAGAGGATGTTTATATGGGGGTGAGGCTGGATGCCCGGGGTTAGGGGCTACAGACTTAAGGTCACTTTTCCTGAAGCAAGATCTCGGGCTAAAGGGGTGGGATCTCGCTTAGCTATAGCGCATGGGCCCGCTCTTTACCCATATATACACAAGGTGAACTTTAGTAAGAAATAACAACAAAGGCAGGATCTTGCCAAAACTGGGCCAGCTTGGGTACCCTGGGGATGGCTTGCAGTTGCACCATATAAACAGCCCCTATATATAGGCAGTATATATTTTGTCTGGTAATTGGAGTCTTTGGAGATTTTGTGTGTAAATGAATATAAAAATGACCCTTTACGGGTGGGTTGAGGGGGGTGTTTCTGTCAACATTTTGGAAAGCAATATTTTATTAAAAAATTAGAATAATCACATATTAAATTCTGATGTAGTATATATTGTATTGTGTGTGATTAAAGTAAGGTTATTTTTTTTTACCCCACCTCTGCATGCAAGGATTTTTTGGCCACCCCACCTAAAGCAACTATTATTTTTCAGTTACCCCACCATTTTCTCTTCGGCCCCCACCCCTGCCATAAATAATGACCGGTCCCTAAACAATTCTAAGTCTTTTGCATGTCCATCGCCACGCCATATAGTACGTCAGTTTCAGTCCCCTTATACGCCATCAACGCGCGGTCTATCACGAATCAGCGCGCGTCAAGCAGCGTTGGCCAACATGATCTCTTCTCAAAATTAAGGCTATGTCTTAATTGTAAAACTTTTGAAAGTTAAGGATATGGCTTAAATTTGAAATTCTCCAAAATTAAGGCATAGCCTTAATTTAATAATACTACAATCATTAGGCAAGACTTCTTGCTATAAAGGTAATGGCCTTACTAAGGGAGGCTGGACCCGCAGGGGTGGGACTTTAGGGAAAAAAAGGTCGCCAGATTTGGATCGGATTAGGGTTAAACTAAGATTAGATTAGCGGTTAGAGTGGGGGTTGGGGTTAGGTTTAGAATTAAGGCAATGTATTAATTTGAACGCTTTTTACAATTAAGACATAGCCTTAATTTTCGGAAGAGATCGAGCTGCGTTGGCATCAGGGCGCTTATATATAAGCGCCCTGGTTGGCATTGGCTTCACGTTTCTCCCGCATGTCATCGTTCCAGATAAAAGACATGGAATTTACTGGTGTGAACCAGGCTTAAGGTAATTCCGCAGTTTTGCATTGCGCACTTTTACTGCGCACATCTTATAACTTATAATTTCATCCATTATACGTACCGTTTAAAAAAAATCATTTTATGACAATTTTATGTTACTTCAAAACATCTTTGGTTACATTCGTGCAAAAAATTACGTTAAAGTCAATGTTTTCAAAAAAGGCATACAAAAGTGTAGCTAGGGTTCCAGGATTTATTTACTTGTATTTGACGTTTTAATGCCTCAATTCCCTAAAAAGATCGGTGACCCCCGTTTCTTAAGTGATAATTTATTTCTTTAATGCATTTTACATTTCATATCCGAAATTAAAAGAAAAATCATTTCTGGATCTTGAAAAAAGTCCTTTATCAATGCATGTTCTCAAAGAAAGATATGTAAAGAAATGTGGAAAAGACATTTGTGGATCAGAATTGTACACGTTAGTAGTTTCATTTTGCTAAAAACACAATATTTTTTCAAAAATAATTACAAGATAGGTTTACTAAAGCAAAATCCGCGCTAAAAACGTCAATAAATATCGGGCTGTTGTGATTTTGCTGTTACTCGTAATGAGCGTTAAGATGGCGCCATATTGGGGGTAAATGTGGTATATTGTGATTGTCATATCTTCTTAACGAGTTCGGTGACCCAGACTTTTTTGTGTGATTTTACTTCAAGTATATCGTAAACTCCATGCCTGGGAAGTTTCAGCACATTCTCATTTCGGGAACAATTACTGCGGAATTACCTTAAAGGGAGATATCTGATTGGCTTCTCAGAGAACTGCTATTTCGCAGAAGTTGATCAGTTTTCGCTGGGCAAAATTATTCTATCAATTCTATAATCTATCATTATTCTATCGTGTGTCCCAGGGCCTAGGGAGGACGCGTGCGGCCGAGAGGTCCTGGGGACGAGGTTGACATGAGCAGCTCACTTTTGAACGGGCAATTGCTAGATAGTATACTTCAAAATAAGATTTCCGTTTTTATTCTATTTTTAAAATAAGTTAGGGTTAGGTTAGGGTTAGGGTTAGGTTTAGTATTAGGGTTTAGTTTTGCGTTTTTTTCTACGTTATAAAAACGGAAACCTTATTTTGAAGTATACTATCTAGCAATCACCCTTTTGAACGTTCGGTCCTCATCAACATCGGAAAGGCGGATTAATTTTAACGAAACAAAAATACAAGTTGGAAAAATTTCCAAGTTTTATTGGTAAATAGTTTCGAATAAACGTTAAAATATTTATTCAACATTTTGAAATCAAGTCAACATTTAATAGAAGGCTGAAGTAAGAATATAGCTAAAAATATTAATTCAATTCCTAACCTATAGGGTATAAATAAATAAAGTCAAATTTGACCTAAGCGACGCCAAAGCGATTTCCATTGTTGCAGTTTTTCTTTAACATAATTTAAAGATTTTATAAAGTGTCATTTGAAATAATCTAAATCATAATTTAATTATGTCGCAGAAAAACCGCAACCGATCGCTGCACATTCTCGCTATACATACCAAAAATTTCTGGAAATAATTTTCTTGTCAATAACTCATTCTTACTGATCGCAATGCACATTGAAATAATTAAATCAAGGGTACAAATTAATATTCATTATCCGCTGAAAAATCAAGGATAAGGTGTCGCCGTGTGCTAAACATGCCAAAGCAAAAACTAAAACCTTTCGTATAACATCACAAAAATCATTTCTAAAAACACAAATTGTTTCTTAATAGTATGTCTCTTGGTCAAGCCAACCTACAGAACGAAAGAAAAATAGTTAGAATGTATTAATCATCCTTTATCTGATCAAACGACCCATACGTGCTTACCGGATAGCTTATGTGACAGGGTAGCACGGAGAAACAAACTGGAAGCACAAAAGATAACCAGTGGAGATAACCAACCACAACTCTATTTACATATGTGTATTTTCGAACATATCAAAGTCAGATATATATAGTCACAATCAAACAACAGCACCCTACGTTCGCCCTTCACTAGCAAGATATCTCAAGTGGTAACGGCGATGCTCTAACAGTATTAGAAATTGCTTAAAGGACCCAAGGAATATACATTACCTTATTCGTACTTAATTTCGCGCGTACTTAATTTCGCGCTTTTTTCGAGGCATGCAATATTTCACGATACTTTTAATATTTTCGCGATTTTGATAGGGGAAAATGGAAAAAGGGCATTAAATTTAGCGAAAGCTTCGGAACAACATTTTATATTCTGTAAAAATCTGAACTACAACTTTCGATACAAGTCAACATAAGGTATATACTGTCTGTACGGTAGTCCGCAAGGTTTTTACTCCTCTTTATTGCCGGTAACACAAAATGCAAACTGTAGCTTAATATACTAAGACTATTATTTAAGAAATAGAAAACGAGTCGCGTGCGTTTATGGTGTAATAATGCACGCGGGGAATGTTGGGAGAATACAAGAGAAGCGTGTACAACACGAAGCGTAGCCGAGTGTTCTCCCAACATTCCCCGAGTGCATTATCACACCGTAAACGCACGAGACGAGTTTTTCTATTTCTTAAATAATATAAGTAGAAGATATTACATGGTAAACAATTTTACTCAAAAGATCAACATTGAAATTCTCCTAACATGTACTCGGTGACGTCACGCGCATGCTTTTACTGTCGCTTGAATTTTCAAGCGAGCGAAGGAGCAAAAACAATACAAAATTTTGAGAAAGTTTTGATGCTAAAGTTGCGGAGAAACTGTTTAAAATGCTGGGGAAAAACCCCAGTGATACACAGACTGATTTATAATAGTTTTGTTTGTGGAAAAACACCACGTGAATTTATTACTGCAGTAATAAATTTACGTGGTGTTTCCACAAACAAAACTATTATATGTTTTATCCATAGATATCTTATATACACTAGATAGTGCATCTAATTATTCTGCAATTCAAAAATTGAAGCCGTGATTGCAGACTCAGGATATTCCCATGAAATGAGAAGATTCGTATGTTTTCTCTTTCTTAAACAGGGAACTTAAGCATTAAGTTAAACCTATTCCAAATACATTTTTAAACTATTCAAATGATGGAAGTTAATGTTGTTTTTTAAGCGTTTATTAGCGAGTGGGAACTACCAACATGGCCGCCATCTATTCAAATGGGGGTAACCGCTGGAATACTCTTGGCTTCAATTTTACTAAACGATATGCGCTATCTAGTGTATATTAGATATCTATGGTTTCATCGCCATGCAAACATACAAAGAACTTACAGACTGATTTGCTAATGTTTTTATGCATTTGGGCTGCCGGATTTGCCACGAAGGACGTTAAATCGTAGGTTTCGTCGTGTTGCTCAGGTTTAATTTTTGAAATTATTGTATTTTTTGCCTTTCGCTGAAAATATATCTAGCAGCTTTTATCAGAAGCATCGAAGCATTCTACGTTTTTGGTATTCCTGTATCTTTTCAAGTTTTTTCTCGACTATTTTGCACGCTTTTTACTCGCTGGGGCATCCTGTAGGATGCCCCAGACGAGTATAGGTTTCGGCTCTGTTCTTGGATCGGCAATCTCCAATCGTCGATAGCCACAAAATAGAATATTAATGAGCTGCCTAATTTTCCCCCCAATTATCCATAAGACTCCTGCCAATTTTACCCAAATTATCCATAAATAACCCTGCATTTTGAGGAAAATTTGGGAAAATTGAACAATTTTACAGGGAATTTCGCACGAAAACAGCAACCTTCGCAGTTCGCAAATTAAATCGCAAGTTTATACGTTTGGCTGCGCTGCTTTAATATATTTTGAGAAGAAAGCGACAACGTTCGATTCAGCGTAAGAAATTCTACTCACGGATGTCAAATGTATTACTAAACAGCAGTATTCTAGCGATTTATGGCCTTTGAAAATCAAGCGAAATTGGTCAAATTGTATAAATGTTGACAAGTCACTCACACTACCTTTGTCCTTGTATTTGTAATGCCTCATGGCGCAATAACGATAAAAATATCACCGTTCGATTCAGGGTAAGAAATTGTACTAAACAATAGTATTCTAGCGATTTATGGTCTTTGTCTTTGAAACACAAGCGAAATTGTATTGTTAACAAATCGCTCATACGGATGTCAAATGTATTACTAAACAACAGTAATCTACCGATTTATGGCTGTCTTTGAAAGCCAAGCGAAATTGTATTGTTGATAATTTTGGTATCATTGGTTTTCTCTTTTTCGGCCGTATAACAGTGGATCCGTCTTACTTCTCTCTTCATTTTGACAGTATTTTGAGCCCAAAAGCCCCCAAATTAGTTTATTTTGAACGTTTTAAAGCGCAGTGAGCAGCCTAGCGTACGGACCAACTAGTGGCGGCTATGTAGCGTACTAAATATAACTTTACTTGTAGGGCCTACCGCATTTTAGCACTGTGTTAAGCCTTTAAAATTGCGCCCGTATTCAACTTTTCCGCTTAGTAATGTGCGTATTTGTATGACTTGTATAGCCCCAGCGAGTTAACGCTCCGCAGAGCGTCTTGTTTCTCTTCGAATTCGTTTTGAATTCGAAACAAAAACAAATTCGACGAATGCCAAGCCGGTTAATTTTTATACTGTTTTTTGTTCCTTTGGTCTATTCCTTCCTGCTTTTTGTATTTTAAATGCTCTATAGTTTTGTTTATATTTTTGGCTAAAAAGCAGAGATGAAGCGGGGGGAAAACACAGAAAGAGCAAGGCACTGCCACGGAACACAGTGCATTATTGCGTCACAATGCACGCGCATTAGCCAATCAAATTGTCTGTTATATCCCACTTATATTATAATAATAAATAATTTGTTATTTATATTGATAGATGAGCTGTACATGTTGATCATAGTTATCAAGAATTTTATGATTCAAACGTTTGACTAGGGTATTTAATTTCGCGTGTGTAAATTTATTCGCGCGACTTTAATTTCGCGATTTTTTGTACAATCGCGAGTACGAATAAGTACGAATAAGGTACATCACACAACAAAGCTTAGGAAAGATAAAACGAAAGGTAAAGTGGAAAATATATGAAAGATACACAGAGCTCATTAAAAATAACATACGTGATGATAATCACAATATAACATTTCAATGTATACTTACAGCCCTTATATCTACGTAGAATTGTTTTTCTACATTCGTCGTAAACAAAGATAGCAATACTAAATGGGATGGCGAGCAACCACCATGTAAACCTGAAGGAAATAAAATTACAAGATGATCTTTACTGTTTCTTGGACACAACTAAGAACAACGTTTGTTGTGGAAATATTTCAATGATTGCTCGAATGGTTCATAAATTCGGGTGCGAATTAACAAGGCCTACAAATTACAAATTGTCAAACGAAAAAGCCGTTTTGTAGGCCGAAAAACTAGCGGCCGACAATTTCACGGAAACCTTTGTAGGTCAACTTTTCAGTCAACTTTTCAGTCAACTTTAAACATTTATATCAATGGTTGATTCCAGCTATAGATTAAATTTTGATCGAGGCAAGAAGAACAAAATCCATCACCACAGCTAGAAAAAGCATGTTAAAAGTTGAAAATTGCAAAGTTTGGCCGCGAAATGTTGTAAAATAAGAAAAATATAGCCCTACGAAATTAGAAAATTTCGGGTATTAATTTGTATTACGCGCGGGAAATGCACCACTTTCGGCCCAAATGTGGTGCATTTTCCCGCGCGTAATACAAATTAATACAAAATTTGCAGCTCAAAACTGGTCCCCCGTGGTCTCACCCTTGGAAACATTTTTGTTGCAGAAACAATACAGTACTTCCTGGTTTGCACACCTTTGGAAAACATGGCTAGGATGTTACTGCATATATCCTGATTTGCTAACTTAATTCGGAAAACACTGGTTTTCCCAGGCCGTAAACGATAGTCAGAAGGGCATTATTTCAGCAATGGTAATGCTGTAAGTGACGATTTTTACGAGGACAGTTCAGTGTTCACAGTAACACTTATCATTGGCGTTTGACTTGCATAGTATACATTACTGTAAAATACTGAATATCATAAACTTACCGTAAGGGGTACATACGCAGACCTTGGTCCATTCCAGGGGTATATGAAAGAAAAGCTGCCAAAATGGTCTCAAAGAAGAGACCAAATGTAAGCATGTGATTCCTAAATAATTCAGAGGAAGGAGACAATAAGGTCTAGGAAATTAAAATATAAACGATAGCGCGATAACAAAACAATGGGACATAGACCACACAAAACAAAGACCTTCTCTAACGTGTAATCTAACCGTTCAGAACATGCAATTGTCAAATGACAAATTCCATTGTCACAAAAGCTAGCAAATCTTCGAGCAGTTTGCCAGGCTACCCATATTAATATCGTCACAAAAGGTAGCAAATTGATAAAGGGAAGAAAAATAAACGTACTTCATGCCCTGTTGGAACAGAGACAAACGTCTTGTTTTACAAATAATTAAATCAGCCCACTGCACGATAACAATACTGACAAAGAAGGCTGTGTGACAAGTAAACTCCAGTTCTTTTCGTTGTTGATAGCCCTGAATAAAATCATTGTAATACATATTTTAATTAATACAACTTAACGCCGACCTAACAATCTTAAAGATTGGAAACCCCTTAAGAATTGGTTATTTCATGAAGTTTAAGATGTATTTTCAGACTGCGATTCGTTGGGCCGACTCAAGTATTGTTTTGAATAACAGTACAGTTAAAATCGGCCCGAGAAATCGTAGTGTGTAAGCAAGTATTGTAATGTTTTTAGCAAAAGCTGGAGGTCTTGGACGTACGGAATGAAGGTCGAAAGTAGTATATGTCTGACGTATGGTAAATATCTGGGAAAGACTTCAGTGATTATGACTTCATTGCTAATTTTTTGTACATGGAACTACTGCATTTTCTATACATACCCATTCTTGACCATAACTATCAGTTAAGTTGGGAATATCCCTGTTGTCCCAATCACTTCTCAAACCAAACAAGAGAGATGGTAAAAATCCATTTTCTGCCATTATCACAAAATATGCAAAGAATCCAGCACAAGCCTATGAAAGAGAGACAAAAAAATCCTTGCTTTAATTTTTTCCTCTAGTAAGAAATTATAGATTAATATATAAACTTCGTAATTTAATTCTAGTCAATTTAAATGACACAAACCTGAATCATTCCGATTTGCCCATAGGCCATAGCAATTAGCCTGTAGTTTAAAATTTGTGTGGGTTAATTAATCAATTTGAATTAAAGAAATACTCTATTTGCACTCATCACTAACATTGTTGAAAGTAAATTATTGTCTTTACCGTTGGTTCACAAGTCTGTCGTGTTGAGGGTCTCGGGGTAATCGTTTCATAATGTCGTTTTCGGCTTTTTCATAAGCAAGAGAGATAGCCGGGACCTGAAAGACAAAATACGGGTTAAGCAACGCGTCGAATACCCTGGATCAGGGCGTTTCCTGTTTCGCTGATGCATGCACTCAGGCGTAGCTGGCCAAATAAAGTACCATAATTATTGAAAATGTGTTATTATTAAATTGATATTTATTTTCAGGAAGCTTTCTCACAAAGTGATTTTCAGAAAGGTCCTGAACTAAATAAACAAATTTACAAGGAAGAGATGCATATACTACATAACCATAACTATGAGAAATATTTAGGAATTATAACGAGGGAAAGTTCAAAGATTGCTAAAAAAGTTTCTCCTTAATGTAGACATACTACTACAAAGTTTTATCTTTCTGTCCAAGTTGTTCCAGTATGGCCTGATAAGCGAGTCTTTGCTTTCCCCAATTCCTTGATACTTTAGTTATTTTTCCAAGTTACTGTGTTTACGAATTCTTACCATATCAGTTCCCAAATCGATGCAAAGGATGGTAACAACACCAAGAGGCAGTGGTACATTGGCAATGATGTAGAACAAGAAGGGTGAAATCTCAGGGATGTTACTTGTTAATGTGTATGCAATAGATTTCTTCAAGTTATCAAAGATCAAACGACCTAAATAACAAATATTGCAATTATCCTGCATGTGTAATTAATGTAACATTTCAGAAGAGAAATTAATAAAATTATTCATAAGAAAAGGACATTATCATGAGTGCTTCTGGTTTAGAACGTTATATCCACATGTAAATTTTAAAATGTATCCGCATAAGAAAAATTGTTTCTTGCACGGCTTAAATTTTATACTATAGGTTATAGGTGTACACTAGTACGCGATCGGCCATTCTCGAACTTTGTCTATAGTTTTCCTACATTTCTACAGGGTGTATATAGGTAATCCAACTTTAGCATGCCATTGTGCGTTATTACTCGGTGCATGAACGGTGTACGAGCTCAGAGCTGGTTTACAAGATGTTTATAATAATTATGCACATTAGAGGTGTGCAAATCCGAACCGAAACCGATCGGATTTCGAAACCAAAATATTCATTTCGGATCGGATTGATAAAGTTGTTTCGTAGTCGGATCGGACTTCAATATCCGAAATAAAATTAATTATCTACGCATTACGGCAAGAATTAATTATCCATACATTTATCAAAGCATCATCACGGTTGATACTTCAATTGGACGTCACTTTGTCAGCCTCTTGACATGTATTTCTTGCTTTTATATTTATTTGGTTAAATATTTCAACTTGAATGAGAAATTTATTTTATTAAAGAATTCTTCGGATCGGATCGGATTAGACAATTTCGGGATCGGATTTTAAACATTAGGTAATTGTCGGATTATAAACATTCAATCCGATCCGATGCACACTTCTAATGCACATACGCAGGTATTTTATTGAAGTGAAATTAATCAACTTAAGTCCTAAAGGGAGTTAATTTTCAATAGTTTTAGACCCAATCCTCAACAGTGAAAATATGCACTTTCGACAAACATTTTTTATCGGATTCGTATTTGCTCATTTTTCTCAATAATGGATGAAAAACGTGTCATCCTACAGCAAAAAGCCTGATCTTTACGATTATGAAAAAAATACATCCATGCACCAAGTAATTAACGTACAATGGCATGCTACAGTAAAGTTGGATTACCTTTTTTTATACACCCTGTATACAGCTATTTCAATTACGGTTGTCCACGAGCAAAGCGAAAAAGTCGAATACGAGCGCGAAAGGCTGCTGGGAATCGCTACAAAATTCATTAATTTTTAAGCGATTCCCAGCAGCCTTTCGCGCTCGTATTCGACTTTTCCGCTTTGCTCGGGGACAACCTTAATTGAAATAGCTGTATGATATTAGCAATAAAAGGAAATAGTCCTGCAGAATTAATTACAGAATTAACATACCTTCCTCAACACCAGTGACAATTGATGCAAAGTTGTCATCCAGAAGAATCATGTCTGCAGCTTGTTTAGAGACATCAGATCCAGCGATACCCATGGCAACACCTTGAAATTTATGATTCAATTTAGTATGTATGTATGGTTCAGTTTAGATAAAACTTCGAAAATTCTGATTCGCATTTAGTGGTATAGCTATCGTGACCAAGTTAAGGTCGTTGTTGTGCTCCAATGCAGTCTCAACTAATCGCAGACATATATCGACACTGCATTCTTGAAAAAACCAGGTCGTAATCACAAACTTAACAAAAGAGAATCTTTTACAATCACATGTGTTGTATGTATTTTCAAATGGTGTGTACAAATATATTACAAGCGATTTTTTTTCACAACGAAAATAAGTTGCTGTATGTCTTAACAAGAAAGTTTCAACACTCGGAGACGACAACCTACATGTTCAATACAGTCCTCATGTACAGTATATGACATCAGAAAAAAACCCACTTTAAAGCATGTTCTGAAGATTAATATATTGTTGTTTATGACAATATATTCTACCTCAACTTTAAATTGTACCACGTGAGGCTGATTTTTTACAATATTCCACCCAATTCTATGTAGGGGTGCACCGGAACTCGGTTCCGGCCGGAATCCCGATTTTTTAGAGTTCCGGTTCCGGCCGGAACTAGTAAAAAAAGCATGGCCGGAACCGGAACTCTGTTGTTTTCAGAGAGATAGAATATCAAACGTTTTTGTGTCTAACAAAAGGTCACAGTAGGAAGAAATTTGGACTACGCAAGGGAAATGTACACTACTAACACTTCATTATGACGTTTAACGCTTGTCAATCTTTTTATTCTAACATTTGCGAGCTCTCTCCTTTATGACTTGAAGTGTCTGCCTGTCTGGCAGCGGACAAAGTAACATATGACTATATATGGCTTAATAAATTAGTTCCGGTTCCGGCCGGAACTTCCGGCCGGAACTTTTTACCAGTTCCGGTCGGATCCGGTTCCGGCCGGAACTTAAAAAACTGGTTCCGGTGCACCCCTAATTCTATGATCATGGAATACACCGTGAGATATCATAATATCCAACGGCAGATATGGCGAAACAAAACATAGGAACAAAACTTCGAGAATTAACTATTTCTTGCTTTTAACCAAAACGTTTAACGTGAATATTTAAAAGGTTTAAAGGAGGCATGTTACCTTCAATCAATCAATTATCCAAAGAATACAGGTTCAAATTTTTTAAAGGGGAAACGTCAAAAACTCAGATATAAATAAATAATTAAACATTGTATTCACTGTTATTCAGCATGTTTATTAATATTCTCTATTTGACCAAGTCAGTTCTCTGGAGATTGGCTTTGGAGATTAGCTTTGGAGAGTCGCTCTGGAGATTCGGCAAAATATTAACCTCAGTCATGATATTTCCCTCGGCGCAAAGTCCCTCGGCAAATACCATCACTTCGGGTAATATTTCGACAAATGCCCCGAGCGGAGGCTCTATAAATGATCGTAAAAAACAAACTGACAAACGCAAGCAGGCCGCAAATCAAAAGTTCAACAGACGTACCAATATCAGCTTTTTTCAAAGCAGGAGAATCGTTCACACCATCGCCAGTTACAGCAACAATTTGACCTTGACGTTGAAAGGCTTCAACAATAACCAATTTTTGTTGTGGTGATGTCCTAGCGAATACGACTTCAGCATGGTTTGAGATCAGATCATCAAGGTCTTTTCCTGTCATATCCTGGAAAATATCGCAAAATTTTATATTAAACTAGACCTGGACTCAGGAATTCATATTTACTGGATTGGGTTGTTTGCATCTATGTTCTCACTCGACTCATGGGCTATTTTCTACGCCAACCTCCTACCCAGGCTATGTTTTCTATGCAACTGTTCCCGCAATGAAACAAACGGTTGCAACGCTTACTGAAAATTGACTTGAAAACAAAATTGGACTGGTGTAATGTAAAAATTTTGGTGTGATTGTCACCTGTTTCGCAAAACAATGTAACTGGACATCCATTGGAACTATGGACCGACAGTACGTGTTAGATTACCTTCAGTTTTGAGCCATGGACAACAGCCGCTGCAGCTTCACCTGGGGGTACTTCAGATTCAGCGATGTTCATACGAGCAGCAATATCTTCAGCGGTTTCGGATCCTAACATTATAAAAACAATATGGAAATATTCAAACCGTTGTTATGGTCGGTTCGTAGGGTTACTTGTACATGAATGTACAGTTACGTTTTGGTACAAGGGGTACAGATGCACTGCATATATTTGCCTATAGCAAAAAAGCCAACAATTTGCATATAATACAATAAACTGGAGTCTTTATATCCTCTATTGAATAGCTGCTAGTTTCAATTCGTTCTCAAGATCGGTCACCGGTCTGTTCAGACTGCTACCGAAAAGTCCATGAAACCTAAGTACTAAGGGGCAAGGGTGGCAAAAGCTGGGGGAAGGGGAAGAGAGTGAGGGAGTTTTATCGTCTTTTTCCTCGCTCTGTTCCTCTGGCCTTCTCCCTCTCCTCTCTAGCGCCACATGGAACATTGGTATATACTCATACATGTTACCATAGACGGATTTTCATATTTTTTTACTGGGGTGGTGCCAAAAATTTTAGGGGGGGGGGGTGAGCCGTGAGCAGGTGACAGAAGCAACACAAAGTGTCACCAAACCCCAGTAAGGTCTATATTCTAGGGGTGGAGCACTAGAGCCGCGAGGGGGAGTCTAGAGAGCAGAAAACAAAGTATCCCTGGAAAAAATTTGAAAAAAACCATGATTTCTAGCTTCAAAAAAAAGTTTTTTGAAGTTGTCAATTTGTCATATCAATGGATTTGGCATGTCCGATTGTCTGTTGAGACTTGAGAGAGTTAAAGTTAAATGAACCTGTAAAAGTGTAAACCCAATAGGTCAATACACAATATGCTTTACTTTTATAAAGTCATTGACATTGTGTCGTTTGAATCCGAGTACAATTTATGATGCAACTCCGATGTAAATAATATTTGGGGCGTAAAGATTAAATCCAGGCAAGTCTATTTCCTAAAAGAATTAAAAAGTAAAAATAATGTTCGTACAAATTCCAAACGTTCCTTGCAAGCAAACTATTTGCATGACAAGGCACTGCAAACTCTATTCAGGGGAGCCAATAGAGTTTCAAAATTTTACAATTGCTCCAATAAACCAGTGAATGTATGCGAAGAGCGATTAGTTTCAGAGTATTGCACTGCCTTTTTCTATTTGAGTGTACTCTACGTTTATTTTGTATCATCAACACTCTGCACGTTGGAGTGGACTATTTAATTATTTTTTTATTATGCCGTCTATGCATGTTACACTACAGCTTAACAAGGTGAGCTTGTTAGAAAGGAATATTACATTACCTTCAGAAATGATTCCAACTTGACGAGCAATTGCTTTAGCTGTGATTGGATGATCTCCGGTAACCATAACAACACTTATTCCAGCACTACGGCACTTGTTCACAGCATCAGGAACAGCAGCTCGGGGCGGATCAATCATGGACATTAAACCAACAAAACATAGATCATTTAACGGGAAGTTTGGTTCCTAAACAAATACACATTTTCGCATGGTTACGTTAGAGTAACATCATTTGACATTTCAATGGCAAGTAAAATGGCTATTTGTAAAGGTCCAGGCACACTGGACGCGATTCGACAACGCGACGCGATTTTTCGATTTTCACTGACCGATGACTTTGATTCTAGTTTTAATCATATAGAGGGCAAAATTACTCAAATATGATTGGCTAATGAGGAGGGCATTTTTTCTTAATTCAGGGCAAAATTACTTGTACCTCATTGACTGAGACGTAAGCGCGGGAAGTTCCTTGTTTTAAACAGCAATAAAAACAATGGCTTCTCGCTTTGTCGTCGCGGATGATGTTATTAGGGAGTTCAAGCTTCACGTTTCCGGGAACGGCAAACGGCAGGTTGGAACTTTCTTAGCAAAATTTTGGTTGAACGTTTTCATTTTATATTTTCTTTCTTGCGTGGAAAGAATAATTATGTATTTCAGTTTTAAAACAGCATGTTCATTCACTCTTTATTGCCTAATACGGTAACATTTTTCTTTGCCTGGCGTTTGCCGTATAACGCGAAGCTTAAACTCTCTAATGAAAAATTAAAAACTTCTGGTGAAAACTTGAATAGAAAAAGTACAAATTTATTGGTTGCAGTATTTAAGAAATGGGCAGACAGGGCAGCTAAAGAAACATCGGTGAAAAGGCGAAGACATGGAGACGTACGAGGTTCAAGAACTAAACTTACGAATAAATTTTGCCCTCTATGATTAACAAGTAATTGCATAGTTCCTCGTAAAATTAAGGTTTAATTTCACTTGTGTTTTCAAAGTTTCACAAATTGTGAAATTTTGAAGACACGCGTGAAATTAAACCTCAATTTTACTCGGCCCCATGCGATTACCTATACAAATTTTCCAAATATTTAGAAGCGGTATAACATTTTGAGTTATTTGGTCTACATATCTTTCAAAATTTGCTCTCATTGCCATTGGCTGTTTTATTAACTTTCAAAAATAGGTACACAGTGCGTACATGTTGCATTCCTCAGAAAGTTAAGGCCGATTTCCATTCAGTGCAAAATATCGCAAGATCAACTGTTTGCGATCACTTTCTTTTGAAATGTGTTCAGTCAACCTAACCGTTGCGTGTGATTGCTTGTATTTCAAAAGAAAGTGATCGCAAAATGTCGATCGCGCGACATTTTGCACTGAATGGAAATCCGTCTTTAAGGTACGCAAGCGCTTATAAATTTTGGTACAACTGGCCTGAAACTTAACATATTGATTCAATATGTTTAATTTCAATATATTTATTCAAAAATAGCTATTATGTCAAAATAACAAAACATTTTCAAACTTTTCGCGACTGTTTATCTGTAGTTGCAAGGGACAATAACAAGGTCAAGGTTTTATCACTGATTGACTTATTTGACTATTCGAAGTAAACAATGTTATTTCCTACCAATTTAAACAAATTTAGCTTTATTGTGGCTTTTTGAAGGTATAAAAACCCGTGGAAACGGTAAATTGAAAAGAATTAAAATTATCGAATTAAAATGCTATTTCGTTGTATTAAATTTCAATAGTATTAATGAGAATTTTGTTTCATATTTTTAATATATTTCATGTTATTTACAGAATGTACTGTAGTTTTGCACACAATATAATCAGTGCGAGCACAATGGCTTTTCAATTTGAGCATTTACTGTCGTTCCCATTCCAATTGAAGTGTTGCTCAAATATTGATTCAATACATTACCTCGGGCTGACCAATTCATTTCATCAAGTTCCTCGAGATATTCATACACTTCCTAGTATAATTGTAAACTTCCTGTTGAATAGTTTGAATGCACCAATCACCTTTGTTGTTTGTGCAACTAACCAATCATAAATAGAAAGGAAGTGACCAGAAATGATCAAATACTTGGAATTGGCTCTTTCACAGGAAGTGTATGAATATCTCGAGGAACTTGATCAAATGAATTGGTCAGCCCGAGGTAATGTATTGAATCAATATTTGAGCAACACTTCAATTGGAACGACAGTAAAAAATGAGTATTTTGATAGCGCGGCCTTTCACGACATATAAATATAAATGCCTGATAATTGATAAATAATCAGTGCGAGCACAACGGCTCCAAAATAACAACAAATAACAGAATATAAGGTAAACTAAAAACAGCAAAGCTTTACCTACCTCGATCTATTTTTCTAAGGCGCTAAATTACGTAAATTTTCGGCGAAAAATCAATATTTTCTTCGCGTTTGCTCAACGAAAGCCGTGAACGAAAGCGTGCATAAGCGATTCACATCACATGAAAATGCTCGTCGGAAAAACTCGGTATTTGTCGTATTTTACGAATCTGTCGCGTGATTTACCACCGCCGGTACACCTAAACCGATACACCGCGACACGAAATTTAGAGCTATATGAAAGTTACATGCCCATATATGGGCATGCAACAAAAACTAAAAAATCGCGTCGCGTTATCGAATCGCGTCCGGCGTGTATCGACCTTAACTGTGTTCACTAAGCCTTGCTAAAATCAACAACAAGGAAATCAATTTACATCAAAAGTTAAATTTGATCATGAAGCAAGGAAACCATATATGCAGCTGCAAGATGTAAAGGCACTGTGGCGAACACTCATTGTCAAGATATTCTCAACCATTTGTCCACAAATACTAACTCAGTTTGTAGTCTTAAATCTAATCAAGACTGGCTTAATCTAATCAAGACTGACTTGGCTTAATTTGATCGAATTACTAGATTAATGTCGACACTTACATCTTCGGCCTCAAACTTGAAACCTTTGGGGAATTTATCTTCAGGTAAGAAATAATGACAGAAACCCAATACACGTTCTCCACGGCCACCAAGATCCATATACGCTTCCTGGAATGCATTCTTCCGGTCATCACTTAATGGTACCTCCTTATCATCAACAGTAATTGTTGAACAACGGTCAAGAATTCTCTCAGGTGCGCCCTTCATGACCAGCAAATATCTGGGATCATCAGTGACTTCGTGAACAGACACTTGGTATTTGTTGGTAGAATTGAAAGGAATTTCAGCCATTTTTTTGTTCTTTTTACGCATTTCTTCAACACTACCGATCGAAAGCTCGATACATTTTAGTAACGCAGATTCCGACGCATCACCAGTGGTCTCTCTACGAATTACAATAGAGCCCTAGTTTAAGCAACGTATAGGACGTCTAGAAACTACTTCATTTGATAAACAAACGTTCTTACTGGACAAATTAGTGTATAGAATCTTTGATAGGCCAAACGGTATCTCTAACTCATTCAAGTCTGTAATGCGTGAGTACTACCATACTGCATTAAACACATACTATTGTGGTGATGCACGAACTTTTAAAACGATTTGCCCGAGATGCAATAGAGCAAGGACTTTAACGAACTCGATGTACTGTTGTTTTTAGTCTCCATGGTTTAATTGTTATTTGTGTTATTGATATTTTGTCTCTTACCCTTTTGGGCCCGCAGTAATTAGTTTCGGGCTGTTGCGGATACCCAACCATCAATTTAGTTTATGTCATTGTATTATCTATGTGTGTATTTGTGTATGTTTCTGTACAGTAGTGTACCTGATGGAAAAGCAATTAAATTAAATAGCTGCTACGTTTACAATAGAAAAATACATTTTCTCCTAAATTAGTGTAACCGGCCAATTCCACATTCTCCTAACCAAGTTAAATGTTCGGCGGACTGGAAGTGACCTTAAGTTTAAATTTTAAAATTTGGTGCTGAGGTTGCGTTCCATTTTCAGCCACGTGTAACGCCAACCTTTATCTATTTTTGGCACCACTATTCTCTTCCATTTGGCTTCCATACGATGATATTAATAGCCGAAAATGTTTTACCTCTTCAAGATTGGGATTTCATCTTGGTCGGGTTTGAACTCAGCCCGATTACATAATGCTGCTATTCTTGCAAGATGTCCCCATGTTGATGATTTCATCTGATAAACGAAACAAGGACAATAAGCATTGTGCACAGACGAGCAGCCTTTAAACACTTCACATTAAATATACGTTAACAATGCATTATGTAATATAAAATTTCCTTTTATCGGCTCGTACTTGTTGTATTTACCTTGTCATGTTTCTGGCCAGATTGATCTTCAGTGGTATCAGCGTCAACAATCACATTATCAAACCACATGTGAGCTAGACAACGACACCAATTTTTTTATTTCTTAATCAACTGCTTAATAAAGACACTGAGAAGTGAGAATTAGATTATCCACCCGGCAGAACGTTAAACAACACGTCACTAATACAAGCCTAAATGTGTACAGACTATAAACGAAACTGCCTCTTCCACAGGCCCTGCTGCATTATGGAAAGGTCATACACAATTTCTGCAGGGCTTGCGGAATCTTGTAAAACATTTAGTCATTTTTTCAATTAAATATACATGTATAAATTTTAATAATTAACTAGCGATCGTTTCAGCCAATCAGAATATAGCTTTCGGCGAAATCGAATCTGATTGGTCAGTTGCATTTTCTAAACGCGTAACAACCATGATAATTCATTTTATTTTACAAGCAAAACTGACTTTTACGACCTTATTTTGAACTTTTTAAGCTTTCAGGGTAAATTTTTGCACACAAAACTAAAAAAACTAAAAGTTCACAACTAAAACTTTGGCATTCAAAATTGCTTAAAAACTTTTTATTCATGCTGACAAATTATGGCGTAGGTTATGACATGGCCCTCTGGAAATACATCCTTCCGGCCGGAAAGTACGTCACTTTGCCAAAACAAGGATCTACAGCCAAGGTGACGTACTTTCCGGAAGTCTGTATTGTGACCTCCCCACCTTAATTTAAACTAAAATCGGCAAACCACCTGCTTCTCAGGACAATTATAAATATTGAATTTTAAAAATTTGAGACAATAGAACATAATTACTTAATTAGTGAGTTGAACATGCAGAGATGTCAGTCTATGTAACAGAGCAGGATGCAAATTAGTTGTGTTCTTATCAGGCTCTTAGCCAGGGTGTCGAAACTGGCCGTGCAAAAAATACCGTGGTCGTGGTCAAAAAACACGGCGCTTGCAATTAATTGTCATACATATGCTTATAACTCAGCGTCTTTTCAAACACAGTAAATAAAGTCAACAGCGGCTGACAATTTTTGAGGTTTTCAAGAAATATCACAAAGCTTGCTTCTTAGGGCGTCCATGGCCGTCTATTAAAGTGGCCGTCTTATTTTAAAAGTGGCCGTCCATAGGGTAGTTGGACGGCCACCTGGTTCTTATATTGATTTCACATAATTTTAATAACGGGGAACCAGTGGCTTCCACTGAGCTACACAATTACTGGAGGACGTGCTCGGGCAAAAAAGTGTCCACAAAAACATGGAGGATTTTGACTGGCTTACCATGGTGACTGGTTCCTCCGGCTCATGGTAATTACCACTGACCAGGCTCAACTTCGAGCCCGCTACAATTTCCACACCCTGATCACTTTTGATCAATATGTATGAATATATATGCACCCATCTTGTTTTAAGCCGGAGAACGGCGAATTTCGCCAGCGCTAAGAAGACATTTGACAGCCATTCACCAGAGGTTGTGTGTAATTTGCCGGTAGTTGCAGTCATGACAAGCTGAAATTTTAAGCCCGGTCTTGCACTCGGACAATATACCAAATAGACAAAGCTTGCAAGCCTTTGCCCACCACTCAACTCACAGCATCCTTGAAGCTTCGACCCGGACCTTCCATTCTTTGCATACTGTACTCGCTTCGCTCATCAATTAATAGCCGGAGCCTCAGTAGAGCAAAACAGTATTGGCCATACACAAATTATTATTAGCCAGGATTTCAAACGGATACCTGAAGGGCTGAATTATATGTATAATTTACTTACAAACAGTCATACGATTTTGTGTCAGGGTTCCAGTCTTATCAGAACAGATTGTTGAAGTACTTCCCAGTGTTTCAACAGCTTCCAGATTCTTAACAAGACAATTCTTAGAAGCCATACGCTTGGCAGTTAAGGTGAGACATACCTAAAGCGTACAATTGCACAATAATAAGATATGTGTTATGTATACACGTTGACATTGGGTTTACAGTAGCTCAATTGATATATGTTCAAGTACAGATTTTTCATAAGGATGATGGCTAACGAAAGACGTTGCTTACCGAGAATAACCAAAATAAATAGCTTCGTAATTAAACAAAATCGGTCATGTAGAGTGCATGACAGCAACAAGTTTTACTGGCTTTTATTCCTTTGTATTCAACATGTTTGTCTCTCCTTGTTTTGTCAAGATTAGTATCGGAGCAGAACAAATTTTCAAGTGTACGTGCGCTACACTCAATATTCACAGTTGACTTGCTATATACTGTACACAGTACTTGTGATTGGATTGATTACAACGAATGAGAGACTTGCTTCTCTCCTTTCATAAATCGCGTCATGTTAAATACTGTACAATAATAGTGGTGGACCAGCAAGATTTTTAGGGGGGTGCTGGGCAAGCAGCGCTGCTAGCGTACTGTCATGAAAGTGCATCTAGTGATTTCTCGGTTACAATTCACAGATATCTTGAATAAATACAATTTAATCATTATATATAAATCCCAGATTCTCTTCATTATCAAATACTTGTAATGATGCTTGTGATGTTACTCTGAGTGTATATCCACACCGGGCAAGCCTGAAAAATATGCCTGTCCACGGTGGGAATCGAACCTACGACCTTTGGAATACTAGCCCAATGCTCTGCCAACTGAGCTACGCGGTCAGGTCGGTTCGAGTATGTGATATTTCGGAACTGAATCTTGTTCCTTCGATATCGATATAATCTAGTAATCGTGAATTTACTTTCTGTGTTGGTGTAATGTACTCTGGTCAATATGATGCTTGTGATGTTAGAGTAACATCAGAGTAACATCACAAGCATCACCTGAGTATATTACACAAACACAGAAAGTAAATTCACGATTACTAGATTACATCGATATCGAAGGAACTAGACTCAGTTCCGAAATATCACATACTCGAACCGACCTGACCGCGTAGCTCAGTTGGCAGAGCATTGGGCTAGTACACCAAAGGTCGTAGGTTCGATTCCCACAGTGGACAGGTATATTTCTCAGGCTTGCCCGGTGTGGATATACACTCAGAGTAACATCACGAGCATCATATTCACCTGAATACATTACACCAACACAGAAAGTAAATTCACAAATACTTGTAATGTTAGACGTTTCCAGCGAAATTAAGAATTTGCTTTATTCAATCAAAGTATCAAACTAATTAATATTGGACTTATTAGTATTTTGAACTAGTACTATGATGCTACCTTGAATTCCAAAACTTAAATTAGTCTAAGAATGATAAAAACTTTGAATACCTCAAACATTTAAGATATATTTAATTTTTTGCACCCCTGTTGACCAAGGCCAACAGGGGTGCACTATAAATCCACCACTACTGAATATTGTGTTGTACGTAATACTAACGAAATGCGAAAATGAGTTTGTGGGACCTAAATGTTCATGATAAAGTTTATTACACTCCTGATGAATTTCTTTTCGCATCATTTATGCACCCACAATAAAACTGAAATTCTACTGTACTTTTAAACGTGTTTTAATAAAACACACTTCGACTGCCATCGTAACGAAAATCCTGACATTTTAGAGGAATTTATTGATTTATTTAACGATACAGTATTTATATTTGAGCCACTTTTTGAAAATAAAACATACCGTTACTGTTGCCAAAAGTCCTTCGGGTACATTAGCGACAATAATTCCAATCAAAAATACAACAGCCTCCAACCAGGTGTATTTCAGAATTAAAGAGATGATGAAAAACGAAACTCCCAAAAATACGGCCACTGAAGTGATAATATGGATGAAATGTTCAATTTCTTTTGCGATCGGAGTTTTTCCAGAGCCCAGTCCACTAGCCAAATTTGCAATACGTCCCATGACAGTCAGATCACCCGTGCACACCACAACACCCGTACATGTTCCTTCCACGGCGTTTGTAGAGAAGAAAGCAAGGTTTTTCGTTTCTAGGGGATTTTCATTGCTGCATTCAGGTCCACGCATTTGAGGTTCGGATTCTCCAGTTAAGGAGGAGTTATCAACCTAATAAGAGATCAATACTCTTTGTAAGGTTTCGATGAATACTAAAAGATACAGACAAATATGAAGGCAACCTCGTAACCAGGGTCTTACCTTCCGCAGCAGGAGGGCGAGCGAAGGTAAGAGCCTGGGTACGAGGTTGATATGAAGGTGTACAGTACCTTAAAACCTTTCGATTCAATAACTCTTAGATCTGCCGGCAGTCGATCACCAAACTTCACGAACACTATGTCGCCAACGACAAGTTCTTCAGCGTTCATTGGTCTCTTCTGACCATCCCTCAAAGCAATAGCTTCCTATATGGTTACGATGGGGAAAATGAGATAACTTATAATAGATGGACGGTACAAGGTTTTTAAGACACAGCCCTGGAAACAAACTTAACTTTTTGAAAAGATTGAACGAAGTATAATTTTATAACAAACCAACTATACGCGAGGAATTAGTAACATCATTTCCATTCACATACCTGTGGTATCATCTTTTTAAAACTTTCCATAATACGAGAACTTTTAGATTCCTAAAATATTGAATGGACAACGTTTTGCTATCATATAGATTTTTTCAATTTCAAACAATTTCAAACTCACGAGCCTTTATAACAGACATTCTTGAATTTGAAAAATATGACCGACCACCGAAAAGCCTCTAATAAAACTGATTTTTAAAATTAACTCATTATTACCTGATAATACGAGAAACATCCTGTTACTATAACGACAGTCGCTAACACAACACCTAAATATAACTGCAAAGACAAAAAATTGACACGTGTTTTATAAAATGCATTAGTATACATTTTAGGATTCAAGCTTAAATTGTGCGAGAAAGAGCTGCGCGTTTTAGCGACAAATGTTACATACAAAAAGAGCAACATGTTTTTCAAATGCCCAAAATCCTGCCGTATACGATGTAGAAAGAAAAAAATTCATAAACGGAGATTGGTGGTGAGAGTTGGAGTACGTTTGACGTTTCAATTCTATTTAACAGCCGCTGCATGGAACAACGACAAATTTAGAGAAAACTGAGCAGAATTTCGCGATCACTCTTGGTCACACAACGTAGACGTACAGTGGTAACGCGTTGTGCTTTACTTACATTGTCACTAGCTGGTTCCTCTTTCTGAGTGACTTCAAGTGTGTAGGAGAAGAAGCAAAGTATGGATCCAATCCACAGAAGTAATGAAAAGCCTCCAAATAGTTGTTTACAGAATTTCACCCATTCAGGTGTAGTTTTAGGAGGACTGAGAGCATTAGGTCCATCTCGTTCGAATATTTCTGCAGCTTTTGAAGAAGTTAAACCCTGCAGTTGAAAATAACCAACTTGTCATAATGAATGCAGAGCTATCTATATAGGCAGAGAAGGGGGCAACTTGCTTTGGGCCACCAGATTGTTAGGGAGCCCAAACAGCGGTACCTGCATGTAAAGCACTCTCTAAAACAGCCTGGGGCCGGTTGTATAAAACTCTTAATCGCTTTTTTAATCACTATTTTGTAGTTAAATAGTGATTAACTCTCAAATAGGCGCTTCTTATTGGATGACGTTTGCACTTAATCATAGTTAACTTTAATCACTTTTTTATACAACCGGCCCATGGTTATTAAATTTTCCTGGTTATATTTTATCTCATTTCCTACCATAGCCTACCTGGGGTCCCTGGTAATTTATCCACCGATTCCTGGTTACATTAACCAGACTCAGGAAATTTAACCAGGAATATTAAGTCAACCCGAACAGGGGCATTTATAGTTAAGCAGGCAAATTTGAACCAGGGTATTTTAAGAGTGTAGGGTCAGGAAGGGTAATTTATTCAACTCTGGGAAAGATGCGTTCAGCAGGGCTCGAATTTTATCGCGGCAATCGCCGTAGAGGGAAAACAAAATGCCGTGGGTCATTGCGGCAACGGCAATTTTTTGCCGTATGGTGCAATTTTTATACTATTCAGATGTTGATCAAATCATGCGTAAATCACTATTAGTCTCAGTTTTCTTCGAAAAAAAAAAACCACTAAAGAAATACGTAGACATGTTTCTAGCTTGTCCAAAATCCAAAGTAACAATACAATTAAAGTTTTATTACAGTAATTTGAAAAATGCCGTGGAAACTGCCAAAATTGCCGTAGACAGCTGCTACGTTCTACAGCAATTTTAAACGTCATTGCCGTCGATTGATTTCAGGGAAATTCGAGGCCTGGCGTTCAGTAATCACTGGTGCATGGTGCAACAGATGGTGATACGAAGTTAGGGACCGGTCATTATTTATGGCTGGGGGGGGGTCCCCGAAGAGAAAATGGGTGGGTAAACAAAATATTATGGGTGGAAATGGGTGGGTTGAATAAAAATTCGCCAAGCCAAGGGGTGGGTAAAGTAAAAATCATTTAGTCGGAAAATACTAAAATATTTGAATTATTTGTTTTTAATATTAAGATCGAATAAATATCATTTACTTATATCGATTTGCATTTGAACCTGCCATAACAGTCATGATAAAATGACAGAGTTCATACTGCCTCGCAGTCTTGTATTTGGTGGCCAACAAAAATTGACAGGTATAATTTAATTTCTGCTCCTATTAGTGTCAACAATTCTGAAAATGACCACTCTTTAGGGACCGGTCATTATTTATGGTCGGGGGTGGCACCGAAGAGAAATGTTTCTCGTGGCAAAAATTTTGCTGACCCAACCATTAAAAAATAAAAAAATTGATTACCCAACCTCAAGTATAATTTAAAAAATAAATACCCACCCCTGGCCAAACACTTTACAAAGAGATGTCATTCAGTTGTCACACATGTCCTTTACCACTTCTGTGATACGTTTGATAACGTTCAGCTTGTGAATGTTTGATAGTTTGTTAACGTTCGGCTTGTGAAATTTACTGACTTTTCTGCAGTCTAAAGTTTCATGATTAATTCACATATTGTATTGACATATGACTGTTAACATTGAAGTTTTTAGTCTTCAATATTTGAGCGAGTCATGCTTTGGAAATGACAAGAAATTTTTATTACCCAACCTTTGACTTGTTTCGTTTTTCATTTACCCAACCTTTTACTCACTCAAAATTTTGTTTACCCAACCCTTCTCTCTTCGGTGCCACCCCCCGCCATAAATAATGACCGCTCCCTTAGGCCCGGTTTAGACGGCGAACTTTTCATGCGCCGAATCTAATGCAAGGATTAAGTGCGACGCTGGAGCGGCGTCTAAATCAATTAAGTTCGGCAGATTTTGATTAAGTTCGACACGACTCGAAGATGCGACAAGACAAGTCGTATATGCGACACAGGTTCGACATTGATTTAGACGTCGTGCTTTTCATGCGCCGAACCTAATGCATACTTAATTTTTTAACATTACAATATGATTATCATATATTTGCATTGTAAATATGTCCAATATAGTGTCCTCGCAATTTGGTACGGCACAATTAAGTTCGACGTCTAAATCAGTTTCCAATATTTTGCCGTATCTACGGCAATTAGATTCGGCGCATGAAAAGTTCGCCGTCTAAACCGGGCCTTAGTCAACTTCAAAATTACAGAAAATTTACGATTTACATCAATCTTGTTAGGAATTGCTCCTTGTAAAAAGTAGACTTATATAACACAACTTAAATTGCGCTGTTCTGCCAACAATGACGTTTCAATATGGTCGTTATTAGAGAACTTTACACCAAGATTGCCATTTCCTGCTTACTACAGTAGATGGTGACAGCCAAAAAAATGATGCACTAAAGTGACTGATGCACTAATGAAGAATCTTGTCGCAGCCACAGGTAAATCTAAGCACTCTCTTTTGTTTTTTAATGCACCTATAGTAACGTGAAAAATCCCGCTGCAAACACAGCAACCTCATACCCAGGCTCTGTGCAAGTGTACTACTGTAGATCTGGAGTACCAGGTTACTCCTGGAGAACCAGCTTACTGGATACAATAAAATGCCAATGGAAAATACTAAACAAATTTTTGAGACACATGAACAAGGCTTTAATTTTGTAATACCATGATGACCTCGGGTTCTTTTGTTCTCGCCGGGTGGTTTAATCACGATATTCCCGGCTTAGCGGGGAGATATCTAATTCTCCCGGCAAAGCCAGAACGATTTCTAATTTCTCCCTGATTAAAAGTCATGAGCCAAAATTCAAAGACACGACAAAGAGATTTCTTAATAGCGTTTACACCACAAACAATATAATTACACTACAGGGTGTCTCAAAAAAAACCAAAATCATTGAAATAACGTATTGTTCGAATTTCAATGCCGTAACACAAAGGATTTTGACAGGGTGATTAATTTGTTTTAAAAAATTAAAATATCTTTGTAAAGTGAACGTTTGTTTGCTCATGGGAATTTAAAATGCTTCGTAAATTGTAATATGCGTAATATGCATTCGTGGGTTTAGTACTTTATGCCTGACATAACAAGTTTACGCTGAGTATTACCATTCATTATAGCAGTTATGTCAATCTTTTACGCACTCGTGGGATTAACTTAGTGCTAGGGCATTGAATATCGAACAATACGTCAATTTCAATGATTTTGGGTTTTTTTGAGACACCCTGTACAATGTTAATGACAGTAAGATAAAGTGTTAATTACTAGACTTATTAATATTCACTTTTCACTAAACATTTCACACAACTATATTATAAAGACAGTAATTTATTTACTCATATTAATGTTGATGTTCACAGTTCCACAATTAGCTCCTTGTAGTAGTCCGCTCAAATCTATACCCTTTCATCGCTAACCGTCACTGCATCTGCTCTCTTCTTCATTGGGCTTTGGGTGCTCTGTAGTTCTTTCAGCTTCCCATCGAGCGTTTGCCGAAGCGGCTTAAACTCAGCCGAATTAAACAGTTTTAACTTTGGATATTGCAACTGAACTGTTCAGTTTAAACCACAAAACAGACTATACACGACTTCATGGCGGTATTTACCGTTTCGCTTCCGTACTTCTAGCGTTAATCGGCTAAACCAGTCAGGATTAATTTCGTCAACGCTCATCTCCTGCAAATCTGGCACACGCTTGAATACTTCACTCTCGGCTTCAAAATCACGAAACTGGGTATTTCTTGCCTTTGCTCATGCTTTATAAACATTCGTGCTCCACCTAGTGTGTTTGATAGTATTCTCAGGCGTTCTGTTATCTCTAACTTTCTGAACATCGGCTTCCATAACAAACCAGAAACGTTTATCCGCCATATCATTCTTAGTAAGCGTTCAAAAACAAGAGTTGAGTTAAAAAGTAACTCATTTTATATGCATGCATGCACATGCACCCGGGACTGACACACGTATATTAAGAATTGTTTATTCGCAAACAAATTTCCGACAATGGAAAATTGTTGTATACATCACTGATCATGCATTGTATTACACAATACTCGTACTATCAATACACATTGTATTACACAATACTCGTACTACTACCCTCACCTCGGTCATCATGGTATTACAAACTAATACCATGGTTTTTAAGAATATAGTGATTAAATCTCCCGCGAACCGAGGAGGTTTGTGAAAGTCCCTCGGGACGCCTTCAGGCTTCGCCCTCAGGCTTTCCCTCAGGCTTTCCCATGAAGTTGGTTTGAAAACTATGAATTCTAAAATTTCTGGAATAAGGAATGATTGTATTTCACAATAATCAACATATTGTCATAACTCAAATATAGCAACTTTATATTATAATATTTCAGCATGATAATATTTGTGTAGGTATAATAGGCAAGAAACACCTAATTTATATTGTTGCCATAGAAACACAGTAGCTTTAGGCTGTCCTCTATCTTCAACAATATACTGTATAGTCTGCATGTCAATAGAATGAAATAAGATGGACTACACAGCAAAAAACGCCGAGCACGCTGCTCAACAGGGTTGAACAATGTTTTGCTGCCCACGTTGTTCACACTTGTCAACAATATTGAACATTAGTATTTTTGCACAAGTGAACATAACAAATCCTGCAAGGTGATTGGTCAAATTTGACATATTAATCTGTTATATTCACCTACAGGTGAATATAACAAAATCAAAATTTTCAAAATGGCGGCTAGCCGTTTTGTTGAAGTTAGTGATAAAGAAATAAGCGAAATTAAAATGAATTCAGAGCAGAAAAACACAAAAAAACTTGTGCAAAAATACTAAAACAATTATTCGCCTCAGGCTCGGTGATTATCGGGAAATATTCACCTTGACTTCGTCTCGGCGAATAGTCACCAATAATCACCGAGCCGGAGGCAAATAATTGTTAAATATTGTTGAGCCTGAATCAGGTGTAACAATATTGTTCAATATTGTTGACAACTGTGAACAATGTGGGCAGCAAAACATTATTCAATCCTGTTTTCATCAATATTGCAACAACCTGAGCGTTTTTACGCGTGTAATGGACTAGGCTACATACGGAATAAATTATACTATCTCAAGTGACTAGCCAAACCCAGTGAACTCTATATATATATATATATATTCAACAATTATTCGCCGAAGGCGAGGTGATTATCAGTGAATAAAAACCGAGACAAAGTCGAGGTTTTTATTCACGATAATCACCGAGCCTGAGGTGAATAATAATTGTTTTAGTATAATTTCAAAGGTGATTATTTGGAAAAAAAATAAAAAATACACATTTCTTCGTCATTTAATTGACAAAAAAGGCTTCGGCCGCCATTTTGAAAATCGCTTAGGTGATTATCGCGTAATAATCACCTCAACGGCAACCAATCAGCGTGGAGAATTTTCAATAATCACCTATGTAATTATACTAAATATATATATATATATATATATATATATATATATATATATATATATATATAGTATATAGTATATATATATATATAGTATATATATATAGTATATATATATAGTATATATATATATATATAGTATATATATAGTATATATATATATATATATATATATATATATATATATATATATATATATATATATATATATATATATATATATATATATATATATATAGATAGATATTGTTCTAGATAGAGAGAGAGAGAGTTCACTGGCCAAACCTTGTCCCCACGGTAGTGCTGTGTGCCGGAGCCGGGCCCACAAGCAACACTAAAGGAATTTGTCAGAATAAACTTAAACATGAATCAGTCAGAATAAACTTAAATATCTACAGTAGTTGTGCCTGTAATTGTTTTCAAATAACACAATTTTCATTTCCAATTAACCATTAATGTGTGCAGGACTGCAGGTTATCACAATTTTATTTTGAATTTCCTGTTTTTGAACTATACTGACCAATTTTATGCAGTAATTTTACAATTTAACAATGAAATTAAAATTAATTAACCTGTAAAGCTACCATCAATTTACGATTTGGGGCATCTCCCTCGATATAACTGAATGTTGAAGGGTTTTTGTAGACAAAAGATCAGATGGTGCTTCACATGTTAGATGAAACATTATATACATTTTAGATCTGTGAATGTGACCCAATGCACCCTACTTTATTATTTTACTCTGTCTAATGCCAGACAATTTTACTCATCAAGGGGTCAGCACTGGTGCTCAATGGGTTAATCAGACTATCAACCCATGTGTTTAGTTAACCCATTTTAATGGGTTAACTTAAAAGTTGCATTGCACCCTACTGTACTTTATTATTTTACTCTGTCTAATGCCAGAAGATTTTACTTGTCAACAGGAGCACACTACTTAAGGCTCAGTGGGTTAAGTATTAGTAACAATCACAGACCTGCCAATTATATTCTGCCTATTATGTACTGTCAGTATCGATAGATATCATATTCGGTAGTGAAAAATATCTCCCGGTATTGGCAATTATCCGGATTTCTTGTCAATAAGTGAAACTCTAAACGGGGAAAATTTACATTTGAAAGGTCAAAATTAAAGTATTTATTTGTTTGTTAAAACACATCTTCATGTCATACTTTCAGTCCAAGATAGTGCCCAATTTAACTAATGCCAAGGGGTTTCTTGTGCTACGAGTGTAGCTAGGGGTCTGAGCAATCCACTATCTGACTGCTCTAATGAAAAAGGCTTTGATGGGTTTTCCCCTCTAAACAGCCAATTCTCCCACCAAATTAAGTGTTTAAATGGGTCATTCCAGAAAACATCCATACCTCCTCCACGGAGGAAATTGGAAGTTAACCCCCCTACCCCCTTCGGGTGTCCTAATACACTTACTATTATCTTAAACAATTGTTACTCCCCTTCCCCTCCGGATGGCAAAAATTTCCTCTGTGGGGGGAGTGTAGATATTTTCTGGAACGACCCAATAAGAATTCTCCCTATATCGGTTGCTAAGGTTGGCAGGTCTGCAATCATAAGGTGGTTATGGGTCGTGACTGTGTTCATGAAATTCAGATGTGATTCACAGGGAAAACATCAGATATACATCATTTTGAGTCACATGTCATGTGTACATGGTCAATAATTACATCGTCATATAAGGGGGGATATATACATTGTCATAGTATATCACTGGGGGCAAAATTTAGTAAATAAGTGGTCAAGTCAGCCAGACATTAATTAATGTCCAGCACAGCAGGGCTGCTGTTCACAAGAAAAATTTTAATATGCTGAACAACATGTTGTGTGTCCAATCCAGCAGTAATATTCAGGCCTGGCAACTAGCAATGTAAAGTAACTCGAGCCATCAAGGTCAATGTCGGAATTTATTTAAGCATTCAGGCTAATTCAGGCTAGTAGTTTACTCCACTGAAAACCACATGATTCATATACAATCTGTATAATCCATGTGGCTGGAGTTATATAGTACCAATGTTATATAGTACCAATGCATTGCACAAAACAATACAACTCAAGCCTCAATTTGGTTACTATGGTTAGGTTGAGTTGAAATTGAATATTCTGCTAACATTAATATCAGCTCCACCAACCAAATTTGGTGTAAGATTTATTTCAAAGAAACAATTTTGCAAGACAGAGCTCATCCATAGTTAATATTGAAGAAGAATATTGAAAGACACCTGTTCGCTAACAATATTGGCCACATTTGTCAAATATATACACTTTATAATTTTTACAGAATATTTCTTGTTTCAAGAGTTGACTAAACCAAAACTGTGGACTTTGAACTAAGAGAAATAATATGAATCACATTCCAAAAGTTCGCCAATAGCTTTTATTTATGAATTATAAATGCACTCAGGCACACTGCAATTAACAACAAGGGTAAGTGCGGTTGAAATGAAAAATTGTTTCTCAATTTGGCGATTGCAATCATATATTAATACAAACTAAAACACTGAAGTAGTTTCAAAAGAGGGCACAAAACACATTACAGGCTATCTAAATCGCCGTATACACACTTCTACATGTATGTTTGGATAGATTATCGAGCTACCGCGAAGGGAGGTGCAGTCAAATTTCATGTCATACTATCTTCAATGACTCAGGAAATTCGATACAAATACCTTAAAACACTGGAGGTGATTAGTAAAGATGCATTTCGCAGACTTTCTCAATATTGAAGGTTGAAATAGGAAAATCAGCATGCAACAAAATGTTGCGGCATACAAAGCACTGCTAGAGTCCAATCATAATATAATATTTTCACTTGCTTTTAACACTGTGTTATTTTGTATGGAATTTATAATATATTGGCCTAATTCAACATTACGAAAGCGTATCATTCGCCGAGACATTTTACAGCTTCTGGGCAGCAATTTCGTGCTTAAAATCTGTTGACAGAGTAACGTACAAAGAAAAATCAGCCTGGATAAAATACAATTCGCATTGCTCTGAGTTGCCAACGCCATTTCAAGGTTTAATCAAACGTTTTATTTGTTTGAAGGAGCCTCGTTCAACTAAAATGCGTACTAAGTTTCCACTAAAATGTTGAAAACCATGTTTCTTTATATAAATTTAACTAGAAGTCATATCCAGTACTTACCGACTCAGGGTTTGTTTCAAGTCTCCGATAACATTCTTCGATAGGTATCGTATGCCAATCCTGTCGAACAGATTACAGATAATAAGGTGATATAACAAAGGAAAAACATTAGGAAATATGAAACATGTTCACAAATAGAATTTTCTGTTCTTACAAGCTCTATTTCTTTCTTTAAGTCTGCCAATTCAGCTTTCTTCTTGCTCTTCTTTGATATCTTAGACTTAGATTTTTTTCGTTCAGCATCATCTTCTCCATGATCTAGCATCGGTGTCGTTTGAACCCTGTAGTTTTCCTTACGGCCAAACTATTAAATAAGTATAAAACATATAAATACAGCACATATTTTAAAAATTAAAACAAAAACAAACGAGAAAAAGCGGTGAACATACTTCTTCATCCGACGCCATATTTCGCAACCTTGGCACACACACAAGCCGTTTGGCGTCCTGCCGTTTTCACATGCACCACATGCACTAGCCCCAGTCCCTCGCGAAAATCAGAGGCGATTATGTAACTGGCAAAGATAATTATATAAGGACGCACAATTATAATATCACCAGATTTTTCTTAATTCCTTTAGGAAAAGAATGCAGTTGGTGCAAACAATTCACTTCATTAGACATTAAGGCCTTAATAGACTATATGATAACTAAAATCATGATATAAAGCAAAACATAATTATATAATGCAGGCATGCATGCAGCAATAAAAAACTAACACCCACAATGCAGGAAATTTGCGTTCAAAATACCCTCAAACTGAACCTGAACAAGAAATGAGGATTACGTAACATTCTGCAAATGAAATTTTTGTATAGCTCTACATATGACAAATTATTAATTCTTACTTGAATTGCGGCGAAGCCAAAGATGATGTGGTAAATCACTCTTGCTAGGATTCAATGAAAGGAATAACAACCGCAAAAGCAATGCCTTATATATTAGCAATATTGAATATATTGTTATGTGCAAAATATATGGCTTGCATGCTTTGGATTTTGCAACTTTTACAATTCAGAGAGTTCATAGATACCCTACGCAGTGCAGCATCTTCAAGAGTATTTCAACTTTATTTACGATGCGCGTCAATTTTTTGCGTTCTGGTGCCCTATATAGGCAGTTCAAAAGCGAGAAATTTATTCTGCCGTCCATATACCATAATATGGCATTATGTCGTAAAAGTTAGAATGAAAAAACCATGCTGGGCACCTGACCTAAGGCAACTGCTACCTAAGCCTCTACGATGTCCCTCAAATTGCGTAGACTACGGATGGGCGATGACATTTGGACGTGGCGAAGACACAGAACAAAGGTTCTTTCAAGCACTCATTACTAAGGAAAATGACATAAACGATATAATTTATATGAATATGTCATATAGAATGTCCGCGTACTAGCTGTTCAATTATGCATGTTAGAATACGTCACCGGCTACGGAAATTCGTCGTTTGTCATCCGCCTCTGCCAAACCACGACACGCAGCTATTGTTCTCAGTATGAAGACTATGAAGTATGAGTGGTTTGGGCAGAAAATGATTATTTAGAGACTTAGAGTAACTAAGTATGTTGTACGGATCATTGTTCACTGTATCTCGAAACAGGGGCGGCGCTAGCCCTTCTGCCAAGTCATTTCCGTACGTGACTAACAAACAAAATTTCTTTGTCATTAAATTTTTCCGGAATTCTTGGCGTCGAAAGTGGGGGAGAGAGGGTTGAAATTTATACATTCTAACATTAGAAATCCAACTTTTCCAAGAAGGGGTGTGAGGAGCACTCTCGAACACTCATTCCTCACATTTGAACCATTCAGATATTCCCCCCCCCCCTTCCCCCCCATTTTGACCTCAATCTCGATTAGAAGCCATAGGAGACTAATTTATTCTCATGGACAGATGGACTGTGGAATAACATTCAACAATATTTTAAAGTTCAGTTGGCAGACTAGGGAAGCTTTGCGCTGTGATAAAAGTACATGAGTATAAATTGGCTGGCAACGTTCAGTTGATTGGGCTAACGTGAGCGCTAATTGCAACGTACGTCGTGAAATCAGAATCGGTTTTGTAATTTTTAGCGAGTTATGTCGCTAACCAATCGTTGCTTTTCACTGGCATATTCTCAGGGACGCCGGAACTGGGGGGGGGGGCAGGAGGGGCAGTCGCCCCCGTTGCCCTTTACCAGGAGGGGCAAGGGGGGCAAAGGTGCCCTTTCAATTTAAAGGATTGCCTTGGCGAAATAGCGAGTTGTCAAAAATGTTAATGCGATTCTTTTACGAATTTGCTTCAGAAAACGCAAGAAATGCAGTCATCGAGCTTCAAGTATAGCACAATCGCCTGGCTGAGAACCCCCTCACACCCCTATCATCCAATAAATAGAAAACATGATTGAGTGAAGTTCAACTCCCGATGTTTTGCAAAAATCTCTCAGTATATATCAATTCAAAAGTGCCCTTTCACGAAAATCTGTGCCCCCCCCCCCCTTGCCTTCACATCGTTCCGGCGTCCTTGCATATTCTCATCACGCGAAACTTTATGGCCAGTGCACACAATAACGATGTTTGATTCCTAGCGGAATTTATCAATAATCTTGTTTATTCATCGGGGGGTAAAATTGGTGGTCAACTTTAGCAACAGTCCAGTCAGATTTCAGAATTCCTTGCCAAGTGCGTTATACTCCAAACATCCTCACTTCCCCCAAAATAAAAAAAATCTTCAAAAAAATACTTGAATCCTGCCAAAATTTGTCGAAAAATTCCCATGAAATCCTTGAAATTGCCAGAAAATCCTAGAAAATCCCAAAATCTCTTTAATAATTCTTCTCGTACGCAGAAATCGCATCAAAATTCCACCGAAACGAGCAAAAATAATGCGATAATGAGAGAGACTAGGAACTAGGATAATGAAAATTCCATTTATCTGAAGCAGCCAAAGATTGATAGGAATTTAAATAGGCTCACTATTCAGATATACACTCAAATTATTACATGTAATTACTTTTCAACCTGCATTGCCAGAGCCAGAGGTTATTCTCGTCTGTTATTTCAGTCAAATCGTTTGTTATTAGTATATCAATGAAAATAAGTAAGTTTTAGCGAACAAAAGATAAGAGAACTAAGAAGTTAAAATTACACTCTGGATAAGGAAGAAATTTCCAGTGTCAGTGAAGCATGCTCTAACCGACCACCTACAGCTTAATTGACCTTAATTAAACAGCATGTCGTACCAAAATTTGATTATTACTAATGGCGATCTCATATTTATAAATCTGGAAATAGTTTCAAACTTTGTTGTCACTTATGGTTAATTTACGTTCATTATTCCCTGCGACTGTAGATTCGCAAACATGCATATTCACACATAAACAAATGGTTTGGATCTTGTAATGACTAATGTTGCTGTTCTTTTCACTCACCGTTGTCCACGGAACATGATTATATTTCAACAATTAAGATAAATCAACTTGTTGTTTATATTATATAGCTGGTCATATGCGATAAATGGGCTGGAACGTGTATGGGGCCAGAGGAGTGAAACACCCCCTCTGGCCCAGTTGTCAAGGTGATCGCTAGATAGTATACTTCAAAATAAGGTTTCCGTTTTTATAACGTAGAAAAAACTATCCTAACGCAAAACTAAACCCTAACCCTAATACTAACCCTCACCCTAACCCCAACCTAACCCTAACCTAAACCCTAACCTAACCCTAACTTATTTTAATTATTTTAAAAATTGATATAAAAACGGAAACCTTATTTTGAAGTATACTATCTAGCAATTGCCCAGTTGTCAAGTAGTTGGTAAATCATTGTATCCCAGTCGGCAAATTGTTTTCGCAATCGGCAAAACATGAATTGGATAGGAAGGAAAAAGGCCCGTTTACACTTAGTAAACGATTCAGTCTAGTGCGATATTCTCCTTCTGATGCATGTGAACGAGTAAATGAGTTACGAATGTTCTGAGTACCTGTACCACAGAATAGGAAGTTATACCAGAAGCGTAACTCTAGTCGTTTCCCTTATTGTTTGACGTCCACGAAAATTTTAACTCGCTCACGTCAGGCCACGCCATCCTGGTTAGTACAGCCGGAAGTTTTTATCAGGATTTGGTAGGTACAAAGTGCCGGTTGTACTAGCCAGGATGGCGTGATTGATGACGAATCGCTTGTAAAAACGCGGACAAATGTTTGCTCGAGTTACGCTTCTGGTATAACTTCCTATTCTGTGCCTATACCCTCATCTGAACATTCATAACTTATTCACTCGTTCACATCCATCAGAAGAAGAAAATCGCACCTAAAATCGCAGCAAAAATTGCAAGTGTAAACGAGTCTAACAACTAAAATATTTGAGTGAAACTGATTAAAAACTACGAATTCTAGCTGAAATTTGGGGAAATTTACGGAAACATTAAGGAAAAGCTAAAGGACGAAGGGGTACGTCAACCCAAAAGATAATGAAAATAATTTCCGGATATTTTTTGTGTTTAATTTAAGCGCTCATCTCAATCTTGCTTCTTTGATTTTCCCTCCCTGCATTCGACGCATTTTCCGTTCTATTGTCTTCATTCTTTCTTCTTTCCCGTCGCGTTATCCGCAACGTCCATATTCCCCACTTGTTTTTCTTTACACTAGCCAGATCTAGGCACCACATAATGGTCTTTTAATCACCCATACAGTTACTCCAGACATCTTCCCTGCTTGTAACGTTGTTTGAATCTCTCTATCCAATGCACCGTATTTTTGAAAAACTCAAATACAAGCCCGTACTACTAAGGTTTTAGTTTTACCGCCGACCGAGTGGAGCGCCGAAGAGTAGAGAGAGTAGAGAATAGAGAAATGCTGGCCCCAAATCTTTTCTAAGGCTTAGAAACGCTATTTCCTGCATTCTGAGAGCAGTTTTAACAAAATGTCAATACGTACACATGCAATGATTATAATTTGTATTAATTGCATGCATGTGCACGTCTGCACCGGTTTATGATATTGACGTTTTGTTAAAACTGCTATCAGAATGCAGGAAATAGCGTTCACAATTGTACTTCTCTAAGAATTACAAATATTTTCTGGTCCAACATGATCATGAGCATAATAAAAAGTTTTTGTGGTAATCAGGGACGTCGCGAAGCCACCAACATTGGGGGGTGTCGTCATGGTTTGACCAACATTTCCTAGGATTTTGACCAAGTCGTGCAAATTTTTCCCGAAAATGAGGAAGGTCAAAAAAATTTTCCAGACTAACATTATAAGCATAGTAAAATAAGTAAAAAAAAATTTCCAGACTAACATAAGCATATTCGAAATTTTTCGACCAAAATAAGCAAAGTCTCCAATTTTTTCACCGCAAACATAACAAAAGCTTTAAAATTGTTAAAATTGCGAACTATTTCATAACTTTGAGCGACTTCGGTCATCTTTTATCCCGAGTTTCACCTTCAATTCAGAGGTACGCAAATATCAGTTCCATTTTGACCAACTTTGGGCAAATATCAGTTCCATTTTGACCAACTTTACCAACACCCCCACCCCCCCCCACCCCCCCTATAACGACATCCCTGGTGGTAATATTGGGAGTTGGGACGCTAACTCATGCAGTTCTGTTATCGGGGTACTTGTATATCCACAACAGTCTCACACTTCTTACACATG